TTCAATACTTATATTTACGTTTTCTCTGCCTCTTATGTTCTTTTTTAACTTATAATTTAAATTTAAAATTAAAAATGCCAGCCTTATCGACAGTCCACACAATTTCGTTCAATAGTTTGAACAGCGTATTGTCGAGCGCTGCTTGGCAAACAAAGTGGTACTTTGAAATTTTAACAAACACTTCAATTTTATTCCACAATTCAGTATCCATACAATTGCGTATGATATGTCTATAGGGTGATTTAAGTTTATCAATAGAACTCTGAGCTGAAAGTTAGATTTGAAATTGTTTTGATTTTTCCCCGGAACAAATTTCGCGCATGGACAAATACAGTGAACACCGTAAATCCGACCATGCCGCTTTTTAAGAAGGGTGATAGGCATTCTTCTTCTAACTATAGACGGATTTCTCTTTTGTCTACGGTTAGTAAAACATTTGAAAGGGTTGTCTTTAAGTACTTGCATAATTATTTTTTTGAAAATTCTCTATTTTATCAGTACCAATCAGGATTTATGCCTGGCCACTCAGCTGTGTATCAATTAATCGAATTATATCATAATATTTGTCTTGATCTAGAACAAAAGAAGCATACTTGTTTAGTTTTCTGTGACATCTCAAAAGCTTTTGACAGAGTCTGGCATAATGGTGTATTAGTCAAGTTAAAATCATACGGTATCTCAGGAAATTTCCTTTCTTGGATCGAAAACTACTTAAGCAGCAGACAACAGAAAGTGTTTATAAATAATTCTTCTTCTGATGCTGGTTAGATCTGTGCTGGAGTTCCTCAGGGTTCAATTCTTGGAACATTGTTTTCTTAATTTATATAAATGATATCGCCGAAGTACTAGAATCTACAACAAGTCTTTTTGCTGATGATACGTCTTTAAAAAGCTCTTCATCTTCCTGTCTAGATATACAAACAGTTTTAAATAGGGACCTGGAAGCTTTGAATATGTAGGCTAACACTTGGCTTGTTACTTTCAATCCAAATAAGACGGAAGTTATTTTCATATCAAATTCAAATGATATAGATGAAGATCTTGAACTGATTTTTGATGGAAATATTTTGAATTTTAACAGTATGCATAGGCACCTTGGAGTTACATTCAATTCAGATGCAAAATGGTCAGATCATGTAAGTGAAATCAATAAATCTGTAATGAAAAAAAAACAAATATTTTGCGAAAACTCAAATATATGTTGAAGCGGGATGCTCTCTTAAGAATTTACAAAACTTATATATTCCCGGTTTTAGAAAATGCATGTGAGGTTTGGAGAAGACCGACATGCTCTTAGAAATAATGATAACTACAAAATTCCCAATTTTAGACTCTCTACTTCTAGTTTATCTTTCTTGCCTTCTTCATTAAAAATGTGGAATACTCTAGACTATAATATTAGATCCACGTCTTTCTCATCTTTCAAATCAGCTCTAGTCCCCAACATACCATATACAGTACCCCCTCATTACCTACGCGGTGACATAAAACTAAACATTCTTCATACCAGACTAAGACACGAATGCAGTCCTCTCAAACATGATCTATACCGTGCAAACTTGGTCCAAGACTCAAATTGTTTAAATTGTGGCTACCATTGCGAAAATGCCTATCACTTCTTCTTTGAATGTCAACCTTATACAAATGCTCGTACTGTACTTTTTGATCATATATATCATTTAAATGTACATTTAACGTTGAGATTATTACTGTTTGGAAATTAAAATCTGGCTTTGGATACAAATTGTGATATATTCAAACAAGTGCAAACTTTTATTAGATCCAGTGGAAGATTTTAACATGTTTCGATTATGAACTTGACTTTAAAATATGTTTTTGTTTTTGTTTGTTTGTATGTGTATGTGTTACTTTAAAAATCGCTTCATACTACTATGAATTGTAATTGACAGTCTATATCATCATCTGTTGTTTTGAATTATTGTTGTAAGGTGATGGCTTCATAAGTTGTAATAATTTGTGCCAAATCCTATTTTCCAATTCTGGTTAATAAAATATGTTTAAAGTCAAAGACGGAGCACAGGTTCGTTACAAATGTCTGAAATGTTGATGTTTGCTGCGACTCATATCAGTAGGTCTGTAACATATATGTCAGTAGGTCTATAGAATAGGTGTATTTCAGACATTTGTAACAAACCCCTTTTGATCAGTGCAGTGTAACAGACGATATTTCTGATAAATTGCATGAGCGTTAAAATTGTTTCCATTGCCGGCATTGGTGATTTCAACCGATGTGCACTTTGTACGATATTGCAGACCTTGGTCTTGTTTTCGTTGTAATAAAAGTGTTTTATATTTATTTTTTTATTTTGCACATAAATTTAAAATGACATTGTCAAATCTCACAATGCCCAGCGATATTTCAGCAGCCGTCATGTTTATTTATATTGGATAAATACGCTAAGAATTGTCTCATGATGCATGGTAATTAATTATATATAAACTCCCATCATCGACACTGCTTTCAAAGAGGCTAAATCACAGTTGGATAATAGTGGTTAAACAAACTTGTGTAATTAACCTTCCCATGAGGTTGGAAGTTTATGCATTGGAAATTAATGGAGATATTGATCGAACATTGCTATATAAATTGAATAATGGGGCATAACTCCGTACATCATGGTCTGATAATGGAAATTATCGAACTTGTCCCAGCTTTCGTAATAATTAACTTTCATATGAAATTTGAATTGATCCTTAAACAATAGCTTGAGATATGGAGTGGATCCTGTTTTAGCTATTGAATAGAGTAGCATTATAACTCCGTAAATTACTGTCGGATAATGGCGGTTATTGAACTTGTTCCGAGCTTTCATGGTGATAGTAACCTTCCTATGAAGGTTGAAGCTAATCCGTTCAAAATTACACGAGATATCCTGTCCGAGTGATAACATAATGTCGCGTCTTTGGATGGGCGTATGAAAAAGGTCAGGAGAAAAGGTTGAGTATTCAAGGAACTGGCAACAGAAATCTCCCCCATTCTCTGTCTCATCTTCCAAAGGTCGTTAGATACCGGTCATGTTCCATCTGACTGGAGAACAGCTAACATTGCCCCAGTTTACAAAAAAAGACCAACATTTTAACCCTGAAAACTATTGTCCCATATCTCTCTCTTGTATTTGTTGTAAGTTGTTAGAACATATTATAGTAAGTAACATCCTGAATCATGCTGATAACAATAACATTCGTTACCCCTTACAACATGGTTTTAGACAATCCAGGTCATGTGAGAGCCAACTTTTTGAATTTATTGATGACATCTCGAAAAATTTAGAAGATGGCAAACAGACAGATGTACTAATTTTGGAATTTAGTAAGGCCTTTGATAAGGTGAGCCATTCTCTCCTTATCGACAAACTTATAATTAGGGGGTATGAAAAAGGGCTTCCTTAGTGACAGAACCCAGACTGTTGTAGTAGAGGGGGAAATGTCCGATTCTGCCCTAGTAAGATCAGGGGTCCCAAAGGCTCGGTCCGAGTCTTTTCTTGTACTACATTAATCATATCACTGAGAGTATAACATCTTCTATCAGACTCTTTGCAGATGTCTTATACCATTATGTATCCGACAGTAACATCTTAGATAGACGCTCACAACCTACACAAAGATATCGTAAACTGGCGCTTTGGGAGACTAAATGGAGGATGGCTTTCCACCCTGAGAAATGCCAGGTCCTCTCTGTCACAAGGAATAGACATCCCATCTGTCATCCCTATATACTACATGGTCACGAGTTGGAGCATGTGACAGAGGCTAAATATCTTTGGGTCACCATTACTTCTGATCTCAAGTGGAGTTAGTACTTATATCGTTAATATCGCAAAAAAGGCCAATTCCACTCTGGGTTTCCTGAGGCGCAATCTCAAAATTTCATCCTATAATAGCAAACAAAAGGCCTATAAGTCCCTGATCCGCCCTCAGATTGAATATGCTAGCCCAGTATGGGACCCTTACTTAAAAAAAGATATAGACAAGCTAGAGATGGTACAGCGCAGGGCTGCCCGTTTCGTTGCCAACCCTATCGTAACACCTCCAGCGTTGGCAACATGTTAGAACACCTAAAATGGCGTAGTCTTGCAGATCGCAGGAAAGACGCGAGGCTGACCATGCTCTATAAAATCCATCATAATAAAGTTGCCATTACTACTAAACATCTCACCCTAATAACCAGACAAACAAGGCATAGTCATCAAACCTCATTTCAAACTATCTTGTGCAGGACGTCTGTAAGGAAGGAATCATTCTTTCCTCAGACTATCAAAGATTGGAACAAACTCCCTTCTCAAATTATCTCTACTGATTCACTACTGTCCTTCAAATCATCTATCTCTGCTTATCAATATTATTAAGTTCTGATCCTTTCCTTTCATAGCGCTACACCTATATATGACATGATCTTCACTATGCTGAAGTAGGTCAAAGTAGAAGTAGAAGTATATTTTTATGCATAACATTTTGCAATCCTATCAATCTTCCTACAAAACTGTCATATGTTAAACAAATTGGATGTTATTTGCCAGCTGTGAACAATACAGATAAGTTAACCTAACTATGAAAAACAGTTTTATTATATATATATCATGTATAAGAAGCTGACATAAATTACAACTATAAGAAAGTTTCATCACAAACAATAAATTCGATCTGCACAACACATCAATGTATTTGAAGTCTCATAATAAATGATGACCCAAATGACCACACTATCAAACGAGAACACACAGAAAACAACACTTCTGGATGATAGTCAACTTGTACATGTGTTGGAGTCTTAAATATTTGTTAACAACCGTATTTTACCTCATATAAGAGATTAAGTTTAAATACATTTAGAGGCAAATGGACATATACCTCTATGCCAAAATATTTTATTTATTAAAACATTATACAAAAAAAATCCAAGATTTGTTTTTTAATGAATACCAGTTTTTTTTATAATACATGTATATAAATATAAACTTTGTTTATTTTACAACAATTACAAAACAAGCTTTAAACATAAATAAATCACTCTTGTTGGCCAGGATTAAAGCTCACAGAGGGTCTTAATGTGGGAGGCAACTGGAGAAGCCGGAGAAAACCAACCATGTTGGGCAGGTGACCCCATACCTTTTCACGCCCGATCGGGGAATCGAACCCGGCCCCCTTAGTGAAATTCGAGTGCATTATTCACTGCGCCATCCGACTACCCTGAACCAGATTATCCATCAATTTGTGTCTATATTCAAGATGCTTATAATATACCACATTTTAACATGTACATATTTTGATAAAACTAGAAACAGAAATTGCATTTAATTTTGGTAAATCTAAAAATAAAAATAACAGTTACCCTCCTTCAGTCAACATGACAAGGTTTCAGGGTCCCCGTCCAAAGAGCTGATTATAATTTTGTTAACATATTTTCCATTCACTTTCAAAGTATATACATATATAACATGCATTACAAGTGAATTTCAAAAGAAAACATTGTCATAAACATTTCCATATTTTCTTCACATTCAAACTGCAATTATGGAACTCTAAAATAAGTTTAAGTTAAAGAAAATTAGACAATTTTTTTAAATTAATTTTGAAAAAGCAAAAAATAAATACACAAAAATTGGATTTAATTTGCACTTCATAGGCATTACTTTTTTTTAACTCTAAATGTTATGAAAAAAAACCAAGAAATGGGAATGCAGAGTGAGACCACTATGTGGTATTAAATCTGGATACATACCACACATTTTGAGATACCGTATTTGCCCCTAGTTCCATTGGCCAGGTGACACTCTACTCATAACAGTTGCAGATAGATTTTTTCAAATATGTTTTTACTTACATTCATTCACATCTATCACAGCAAAAGCAAATATTTGACTAAATTCCAGTACACATTGTTTAACATGTCACTGGGGCTCTTTTAAATAGCATGACCTCCTCAATCCTTTACATAAGAAGTTATAGGGGTATGGTTTCAAACCGTGTCATTCATCCAATTAATTCATTTATAAAAGAACTTCACACACAAAGAGGTATTTCCTGTACTATTTTTCACTTGGCCAGCATTTAGAATTATGAAAAACAGCAGTCTACTTCATCTTTCACACACAAAAGTAAAAATCTTTGTTAATTCTTTAAGTTATATCAAAATATTTGTGGTGGATCCTGGATACTTGAAGGTAATCCCTTATTACTTCTAAAGAGAAGAACGTATGACAAAAAGCAATTAGCAATGAAATGCTAAGGCACCACACAACAAATTAAGTTCACCTTAATTTCTATATGCAAGGCTCAGGGCCTGTGTTGATAAATTGACATAAAGGTCGCTCTTTTAATCTATGCCACAGGGCCCAATTCTCCACTCAGGGCCCGATTCTCCACTCAGGGCCCAATTCTCAACCCAGGGCCCCAGATAACAATTTAAGTTTGCTCTCATAGTACATCAGTCATCATCAATTATCTTCAGTTTTCACTACTATGAGGTTTTATGAAATATGTTTTTTTTGAGAAATCACTTTGGCATCCTCTTAAGTTCATGGGCCACCCAGATAGCAAAACTGAGCAGAACCAATGATCCTGATTGGTGAGTGGCTGCCAAGTGTGTTGGAACATACATCAGCAGTGTACTTATTCCCAGTGTCGCCTTTGCAGAAGAAATCAAAATACATATACATGTAAATATTTGTGATAGAATATTGCAACAAGAGGCCCAGAGGGCCTGTATTGCTCACCTGGATATCAAAGTAATCATGGCAAAATTTTCTCAAAATAAGATCAAAGGAACAGGCCAGACCCCAAGGCCAATCCTTGTAGCATATCTGTATTAGATTTTTCATGCCCAGCAATTTTATGTATGGTAATGGGGTGGGGATCTCAACTGTTTCCAAGCTGTGACTCAGAAACTAGGTCCCTAGGGTTGTGGCCAGACCCCAGGGTCTATTCTAATATCATGACTGCATTTGTCTCTTTGTGCCCAGCATTTGTATATACAGTTCTGGGGTGGGGATCTCAACCGTTTCAAAGTTATGACCCAGGGACTATGTATCAAAGGATGGGGCCAGAACTCAGTGCCATCCTGGAGGCATGTGTGCATTCTTCTCTTTATACTCAGCAATTGTATATATGGTTTTAGGGTGGGGCTCTCAACCATTTCCAAGTAATTAAACTATTTTTGGCCCCACCTTTTAGCCAAGTGTGTCAGCCCCACCATTTGTTCAATTTTGAACCCCTACCTCCTATAGTGCTTCCAACCAAATATGATTAATATCCAGTGCATCGTTTTACAGAAGTCGTTTATAGCAATATAGCCCCGCCCCTTAGCCCCCTAGGGGGTCAGCCCCACCATTTGTACAATTTTGAAATCCCACTATCTAGGGATGCATCCAATCAAATATGGTTGATATCAATCTCTTAGTTCCAGAGAAGTCACTTAAAGCAATATAGAAAATACCCTTTTTGGCCTCACCCCTCAGTCCCCTTGGGAGTGAAAATCATTTGTACGCTTTTAAATCCCCGCCTCCCATGAATGCTTCTGCCCAAATATGAGCGATATACAGTGCACAGTTCTACAGAAGAAGCCGTTAATAGCAATATAGCCAAACTGTCCCCTTTTGACCCCGACCCTCAGCCCCCTGTGGGGGTAGCTTACCATTTGTACAATTTTGAATCCCCACCAACTAAGGATGCTTCCAGTCAAATTTAGTTAATCTCCAATCAGTGGTCAAGAAGAAGAAGTTGTTTAAAGAAATTGTTGACAGACGGACGACGGACACCATGGTATGGCATAAGCTCACCTTGGTCCTTTGGACCAGGTGAGCAAAAAAGGATGGCATCCACAAAGCAAAATCACTTTTTAATAAATAAGAAAGTGGATTTAAAACAAGCACTATAGGGCCTTATAATTTATTTTACTGATGGCAAAGTTTGTTTAAGATTTTGATGCTCAGGAGACACTTTTTTTCTGGGACTCATATATTACTTTATTTAAAACAAGAGTTTGTACATGTACAGTTGCATGTTCATTTTATAAAAACAATTTACTTGGTTTGGTATTGTAAGCTACGGGGGACATGTTTTGTACCTGTACGAAAGCCATTCCAAGGAGACAGTTACATGCCAATCTAGCCCTTGGGGGGAGAGGCGCCTTCCTGCACATCCACCAGAAACCGCATATCGCTATTACAGTACTCTCAGCCTGCATAAAATAGAGGCATCATTGTTCAGTAAAATCTAATGTTATATAACAGCAGTAGCCTGGCACCAGCAATCAACAGCAAAAGGGGCATAACACCCATTAAAACACCATTTTCATTAGCTACAAACTACTTTGTAGTTCACCATGACCAGACCGATTTTTTAGGCAAGTTATCTATGATCAAGAATGAACATTTGATTAACTTACCAGGTTTCTATGATTAAACTGGACAGTTGTTGGATTTTCAAAAATGTTTTTCCATGTTGGAGAGTAACTGAATAAATCGGAGGGAATCCATCTGTCCGCCATTTTAGGCCATGTGTTGTACACGAGACCCGCATCCAGACCAGCTACAAAGGCCCCTATACCGACAAAACAATTGAGTGTATACTGTTATCTTGTATCCACATTGTACACATTCTGTTGTTAGCTTGGAGAAAATATATATGCTGACTGTTGACTGTTTCACTCATGAAATACTTCACAACAATACAAAGATGTATTACATGTAATCAACAACAGATATAAGGTCTTAAGTTCTCAGTATAAGGAATTCATATGGAACGAAATTCAGTCTGATGGAATAGTAACAGGCACCCAGTCTGATGGAATAGTAACAAGATATTCAATCTGATGGAATAGTAACAAGATACTCAGTCTGATGGAATGGGGACAAGATACTCAGTCTGATGGAATGGGGACAAGATACTCAGTCTGATGGAATGGGGACAAGATTCTCAGTCTGATGGAATGGTGACAAGACACTCAGTCTGATAGAATGGTAACAAGATACTCAGTCTAATGGAATGGTAACAAGATACTCAGTGTGATGGAATGGTGACAAGATACTCAGTTGATAGAATGGTAACAAGATACTCAGTCTAATGGAATGGTAACAAGATACTCAGTCTGAGGGAATGGGAACAAGATACTCAGTCTGATGGGATCGTCACAAGATACTCAGTCTGATGGAATGACAACAAGATACTCAGTCTGCTGGAATGGGAACAAGATACTCAGTCTGATGGGATGGTAACAAGATACTACAAGATACTCAGTCTGATGGAATAGTAACAAGATACTCAGTCTGATGGAGTGGTAACAAAATACTCAGTCTGATAGAATGGTAACAAGATACTCAGTCTAATGGAATGGTAACAAGATACTCAGTGTGATGGAATGGTGACAAGATACTCAGTTGATAGAATGGTAACAAGATACTCATTCTGATGGAATGGTGACAAGATACTCAGTCTGATGGAATGGCAACAAGCTACTCAGTCTGATGGAATGGAAACAAGATACTCAGTCTGATGGAATGGGGACAAGATTCTCAGTCTGATGGAATGGTAACAAGATACCCAGTCTGATGGAATAGTAACAAGAAATTCAATCTGATGGAATAGTAACAAGACACCCATTCTGATGGAATGGTAACAAGATACTCAGTGTGATGGAATGGTGACAAGATACTCAGTCTGATGGAATGGCAACAAGCTACTCAGTCTGATGGAATGGAAACAAGATACTCAGTCTGATGGAATGGGAACAAGATACTCAGTCTGATGGGATCGTCACAAGATACTCAGTCTGATGGAATGACAACAGGATACTCAGTCTGATGGAATGGTAACAGTGGTAACAAGATACTCAGTCTGATGGAGTGGTAACAAAATACTCAGTCTGATAGAATGGTAACTAGATACTCAGTCTGATACAAGATACTCAGTCTGATGGAATGGAAACAAGATACTCAGTCTGATGGAATAGTAACAAGATATTCAATCTGATGGAATAGTAACAAGACACCCAGTCTGATGGAATGGTAACAAGATACCCAGTCTGATGGACTGGTAACAAGACTCCCAGTCTGATGGAATGGTAACAAGATGCTCAGTCTGATGGAATGGTTACAAGATACTCAGTCTGATGGAATGGTGAGAAGATACTCAGTCTGATGGAATGGTGACAAGACACTCAGTCTGATAGAATGGTAACAAGATACTCAGTCTAATGGAATGGTAACAAGATACTCAGTGTGATGGAATGGTGACAAGATACTCAGTCTGATAGAATGGTGACAAGATACTCAGTCTGATGGAATGACAACAAGATACTCAGACTGATGGAATGGTAACAAGATACTCAGTGTGATGGAATGGTGACAAGATACTCAGTTGATAGAATGGTAACAAGATACTCAGTCTAATGGAATGGTAACAAGATACTCAGTGTGATGGAATGGTGACAAGATACTCAGTCAGATGGAATGGTGACAAGATACTCAGTCAGATGGAATGGTGACAAGATACTCAGTCAGATGGAATGGTGACAAGATACTCAGTCAGATGGAATGGTGACAAGATACTCAGTCAGATGGAATGGTGACAAGATACTCAGTCAGATGGAATGGTGACAAGATACTCAGTTGATAGAATGGTAACAAGATACTCAGTCTGAGGGAATGGGAACAAGATACTCAGTCTGATGGGATCGTCACAAGATACTCAGTCTGATGGAATGGGGACAAGATTCTCAGTCTGATGGAATGGTAACAAGATCCTCAGTCTGATGGAATGGTAACAAGGTACTCAATCTGATGGAATCGCAACAAGATACTCAGTCTGATGGAATGGAAACAAGATACTCAGTCTGATGGAATGGTGACAAGATACTCAGCCGATGGAATGGGAACAAGATACTCAGTCTGATAGAATGGTAACTAGATACTCAGTCTGATGGAATAGCAACAAGATACTCAGTCTGATGGAATGGTAACAAGACACCCACTCTGATGGAATGGTATCAAGATACTCATTCTGATGGAATGGTAACAGGATACTCAGTCTGATGGAAAAGTAACAATATATTCAATCTGATGGAATAGTAACAAGACACCCACTCTGATGGAATGGTAACAAGATACTCAGTCTGATGGAATGGTGACAAGATACTCAGTCTGATGGAATGGTGACAAGATACTCAGTCTGATGGAATGGGAACAAGATACTCAGTCTGATGGAATGGTAACAAGATACTCAGTCTGATGGAATGGTAACAAGCTACTCAGTCTGATAGAATGGTAACAAGATACTCATTGTGATGGAATGGTGACAAGATACTCAGTCTGATGGAATGGGAACAAGATACTCAGTCTGATGGAATGGTAACAAGATACTCAGTCTGATGGAATGGTAACAAGATACTCAGTCTGATGGAATGGTAACAAGATACTCAGTCTGATGGAATGGTAACAAGATACTCAGTCTGATGGAATGGTAACAAGATACTCAGTCTGATGGAATGGTAACAAGATACTCAGTCTGATGGAATGGTAACAAGATACTCAGTCTGATGGAATGGTAACAAGATACTCAGTCTGATGGAATGGTAACAAGATACTCAGTCTGATGGAATGGTAACAAGATACTCAGTCTGATGGAATGGTAACAAGATACTCAGTCTGATGGAATGGTAACAAGATACTCAGTCTGATGGAATGGTAACAAGATACTCAGTCTGATGGAATGGTAACAAGATACTCAGTCTGATGGAATGGTAACAAGATACTCAGTCTGATGGAATGGTAACAAGATACTCAGTCTGATGGAATGGTAACAAGATACTCAGTCTGATGGAATGGTAACAAGATACTCAGTCTGATGGAATGGTAACAAGATACTCAGTCTGATGGAATGGTAACAAGATACTCAGTCTGATGGAATGGTAACAAGATACTCAGTCTGATGGAATGGTAACAAGATACTCAGTCTGATGGAATGGTAACAAGATACTCAGTCTGATGGAATGGTAACAAGATACTCAGTCTGATGGAATGGTAACAAGATACTCAGTCTGATGGAATGGTAACAAGATACTCAGTCTGATGGAATGGTAACAAGATACTCAGTCTGATGGAATGGTAACAAGATACTCAGTCTGATGGAATGGTAACAAGATACTCAGTCTGATGGAATGGTAACAAGATACTCAGTCTGATGGAATGGTAACAAGATACTCAGTCTGATGGAATGGTAACAAGATACTCAGTCTGATGGAATGGTAACAAGATACTCAGTCTGATGGAATGGTAACAAGATACTCAGTCTGATGGAATGGTAACAAGATACTCAGTCTGATGGAATGGTAACAAGATACTCAGTCTGATGGAATGGTAACAAGATACTCAGTCTGATGGAATGGTAACAAGATACTCAGTCTGATGGAATGGTAACAAGATACTCAGTCTGATGGAATGGTAACAAGATACTCAGTCTGATGGAATGGTAACAAGATACTCAGTCTGATGGAATGGTAACAAGATACTCAGTCTGATGGAATGGTAACAAGATACTCAGTCTGATGGAATGGTAACAAGATACTCAGTCTGATGGAATGGTAACAAGATACTCAGTCTGATGGAATGGTAACAAGATACTCAGTCTGATGGAATGGTAACAAGATACTCAGTCTGATGGAATGGTAACAAGATACTCAGTCTGATGGAATGGTAACAAGATACTCAGTCTGATGGAATGGTAACAAGATACTCAGTCTGATGGAATGGTAACAAGATACTCAGTCTGATGGAATGGTAACAAGATACTCAGTCTGATGGAATGGTAACAAGATACTCAGTCTGATGGAATGGTAACAAGATACTCAGTCTGATGGAATGGTAACAAGATACTCAGTCTGATGGAATGGTAACAAGATACTCAGTCTGATGGAATGGTAACAAGATACTCAGTCTGATGGAATGGTAACAAGATACTCAGTCTGATGGAATGGTAACAAGATACTCAGTCTGATGGAATGGTAACAAGATACTCAGTCTGATGGAATGGTAACAAGATACTCAGTCTGATGGAATGGTAACAAGATACTCAGTCTGATGGAATGGTAACAAGATACTCAGTCTGATGGAATGGTAACAAGATACTCAGTCTGATGGAATGGTAACAAGATACTCAGTCTGATGGAATGGTAACAAGATACTCAGTCTGATGGAATGGTAACAAGATACTCAGTCTGATGGAATGGTAACAAGATACTCAGTCTGATGGAATGGTAACAAGATACTCAGTCTGATGGAATGGTAACAAGATACTCAGTCTGATGGAATGGTAACAAGATACTCAGTCTGATGGAATGGTAACAAGATACTCAGTCTGATGGAATGGTAACAAGATACTCAGTCTGATGGAATGGTAACAAGATACTCAGTCTGATGGAATGGTAACAAGATACTCAGTCTGATGGAATGGTAACAAGATACTCAGTCTGATGGAATGGTAACAAGATACTCAGTCTGATGGAATGGTAACAAGATACTCAGTCTGATGGAATGGTAACAAGATACTCAGTCTGATGGAATGGTAACAAGATACTCAGTCTGATGGAATGGTAACAAGATACTCAGTCTGATGGAATGGTAACAAGATACTCAGTCTGATGGAATGGTAACAAGATACTCAGTCTGATGGAATGGTAACAAGATACTCAGTCTGATGGAATGGTAACAAGATACTCAGTCTGATGGAATGGTAACAAGATACTCAGTCTGATGGAATGGTAACAAGATACTCAGTCTGATGGAATGGTAACAAGATACTCAGTCTGATGGAATGGTAACAAGATACTCAGTCTGATGGAATGGTAACAAGATACTCAGTCTGATGGAATGGTAACAAGATACTCAGTCTGATGGAATGGTAACAAGATACTCAGTCTGATGGAATGGTAACAAGATACTCAGTCTGATGGAATGGTAACAAGATACTCAGTCTGATGGAATGGTAACAAGATACTCAGTCTGATGGAATGGTAACAAGATACTCAGTCTGATGGAATGGTAACAAGATACTCAGTCTGATGGAATGGTAACAAGATACTCAGTCTGATGGAATGGTAACAAGATACTCAGTCTGATGGAATGGTAACAAGATACTCAGTCTGATGGAATGGTAACAAGATACTCAGTCTGATGGAATGGTAACAAGATACTCAGTCTGATGGAATGGTAACAAGATACTCAGTCTGATGGAATGGTAACAAGATACTCAGTCTGATGGAATGGTAACAAGATACTCAGTCTGATGGAATGGTAACAAGATACTCAGTCTGATGGAATGGTAACAAGATACTCAGTCTGATGGAATGGTAACAAGATACTCAGTCTGATGGAATGGTAACAAGATACTCAGTCTGATGGAATGGTAACAAGATACTCAGTCTGATGGAATGGTAACAAGATACTCAGTCTGATGGAATGGTAACAAGATACTCAGTCTGATGGAATAGTAACAAGATACTCAGTCTGATGGAATGGTAACAAGATACCCAGTCTGATGAAATAGCAACAAGATACTCAGTCTGATGGAATGGTAACAAGATATTCAGTCTGATGGAATGGTAACTGCAATATTACACTTTCTATCATTATACAAGAAAAAACACACAAAAATACTGGTATTATCATTTTTACCCCCGCTGTAAATTTGGCATGATTGAGGTTGGCTGTAAACAGTGGGAAGCTTAGGAAAGTATCACTATTTGAAGAAAAATGGAAAATATGCCAATGGCAATAGATTAAATGATTATTATTCCAAAGTCATTTCAAATTATGATCAGAGAAATTGATAACATACCTGCTCATCTCCAATATTGCAAGGCTCAGACAAAAGTAAGTTTACATTAAAAGCATATACTATTAATTTATTGATTTATACTCAATCAAACAAACTTTGAGCCTAAATAACCAAATTAAAATTATATATACAAGTGATTAGGATTTGAAGAAACAACCATCTCACCTGACAGGGCTGTTATAAAGACTGTAGCCATGACACCGTGTGACAAGCCTCTTAGTTTGACGAACTGCTTTAGGTGGGTATCAGGTAACTGTGGGAACAGTTAATACAATAGATAACAAAATTTTTAATTTTTAATTATAAAAGCAACAAAACAATTCACCATAATATTGAAATAGTTTTACTTTTTTAAATAATATTAATGAAATAATAATTCCAGGTTCTTATAAACCGCTATATCACAACATAGTTCGTAGATCGTCTCAAATCAGTTCACAAATTATTATCCATGGTTATAGGGCCTTTGCAACCAGCCAAAATCTGTCTCAACTCCCTGGGAAGCAAACAGCCAGTGCTGCCATTTCGGCACTCACAGCTAGCATTCAATAATTCTAGCACTGCCCAATCACATACTCATTTACAGCTGAGTAGACTGGAACAAGGGGAGTAAAGTATCTTGAACAAAAAAATAAAACAGTGACGTGACTTGAATCAGCAACCCTTCAGTCAAGAGCCTCGGGTCCTACCACTAGACTACCGTGCCTCCTAAATACATACCTTGTTTGGTGAAAGGAGGTGTCCTAGGGCCTGGTACAAAAACAGTGAATACAGTAAGAAAGCCGAACCTAAATGGGAGGCTAGCCTGTACTGACTGACCCTAGGAACGTCTGTAGACTTGGCCTGTTCCTGTAGACCACTCTTCACCATATACCATCCCAGGAATCCCTGCACAAGTATCCAGAATGGAAGGTAGAATTTCAAACTTTATAATGAATATCGTAAATATTCGCATATTGTCGCACTCGTGTATAGTGCACACATACTTTTGGGGTGAAGAAAATTAAAGAATATGTCTTTTAAATTAATTAGATATTTTTTTGTGCGCAAAATATTCGAGTAGGAGCTTTTTTGAGGATTTTCAGCCTCAAAAAGTACCTGCGCAAATTACATGGGTTTTTACAGTATTTGAAAAAATTGTCAATCTGACTGATAGCACTAATCAGGTAGAATGAAGGTACATTAAATAAACACACTCACCAACTTTTTTTTATAAAATGCACTAGCGCTTCATGATAAAGATATTTGTAAGCTACTCCAGTTTATAACAGAACAACAAAGGGAGATAAACCCTTTTTTCCTGATATTTGTGTTTTTCAGGTTTATCTCTGTTAAGAAATTAAGAGGAATGTATAAATGGCAAGTCTATGTTTCATCTTCACTACACACTTTAACCTTTACCTTACTTTGGCATACATGAATGCCTCAAAAATGCTGTATAGATAGACAATCTTTGTTTGACCTCATTTATAATTTTGTCATCAATACTTATGTGGATTAAAGTTAAGTGAGCTGACTATAGGTATGACCCTGACCTTGTCGCTTACAGTTGGGGTTTGACCTTTACCTTGTTATCTGATATTGTCATTTCATTTCCTTGGTAGCTAATGACAGCTGTACATGTATATTTGGCCCTGTCTAGATCTGACCTTGACCTCACACACCAACCCGGTAACCTACATGGAAGCCTATGAGAGCTGTATATATATGGCCCTGTCCAGATCTGACCTTGACCTCGCACACCAACCCAGTCACCTACCTGAAAGCCTATGAGAGCTGTATAGATCGCCAATCTTGGTTTCAATGCCTTTGACACCCAACCCTTCTTAAGAAAGTAGGCTGCTGGCAGGAGGAAGGTTATCCCTACCAGGCGACCCCACATGCGATGCGCATACTCCATGTAGAAAATAAACTTGAAGTCAGACAGGGTCATCTCATTGTGTTTGTTCACACTGAAAGCAAGCAATTCATTTTATTCACACTCATTGGTTTAATATATTTAGGAATGACCTATGAATAAACTAATCATTTTTGTTTGGTATTTCAGATTTTTTTCCGAGTATTTCATTCCGTAACAATGATCAAGTGGCCTCATCAAATAGAACTTATGTGCACATTAGGTAATTGCACAGCTTGGTGATTGATTTTTAAATTACACAATTATCTGCACAGTTATTTTGGTGTGTTGTGTGATCACACAACGGTATATCTACTTACTATATGTATTCTGGAAATTGTTTGTATCGTTCAAATTCTGCCACCCATTCCTCCTGGCTCCTAGGGGGCTTCATGTCTTTGAAGAGTTTCCAGTCAACCATGGACAAACCCGACTCAGTCAGTCTGTGAATTATGAATTATGAAGCAACATTTGTTTGTAAATCATAGCATTGATCCATTTGACATAATAATCAAAGCTGCAAACATGTAACACTTTTTTTCAGCCACAGGCAAAGAATAATGTTACCAACAGCACCCATTAAAGACACAAAACATTGTAGATACCCTGTTTGGAGATCTCAAGATAATATTGTTGATGGCAATAAAAACTTCTAACCAGAAAACTAGAGTTCAAAGGCTATCAAAATCTCTAAACGGCATGCACAGCCCACAAATACTAGGACATATATGTTAACTCATTACTATTTACTAATCAGACTTATGTTGAAACTTATATAATATGCACACATAAACATGTTTGTACCATTGTGAGTGTGTATATATATACTCATACAAACATGTGTGTTTATCATGCAGAAACTCCTTTATCTTCAGATTAAAATGTACTATCTGAACCTTAAATTCATATATTTAGTCATATTTAAGACACACATTCTTCTTTGCAAGTGCTTACTGATCTCAAAAAATCTACTTTTCTCGAGTCACACATACCTGGTAACTCCACCAAGCACAACAGCCCCAAACACCATCCCGGAGCATCCTACCAACCACCAGCCAATAGCCTTCTGTGTGTATGCGGGAAGGGCAGGTGTCGATGCTTGAGTGGCAGACTTTCTTATTCCTGGCAATAACTGACGTGATTGGCCAGTTATCTGTAAGTAAAATATTTGTATTTATTGAAATTCGAAAATATTAATGAAGATAATGGAAATGGTTCACTTCTATGACAGGGTCTAAAATTTGTAAGTGTTTCAGGTTTCCCAGCAGATCCTATTTCTTTTCGTGCCAACTAAAATTTTCTTTCGCTAAATTACATAAGAAAATGAAAGTATATACCACAATGTAAGATGTTTCAAGAAACATCCTACAACCAATATATAAAATCATACTGATAGTATATACTTTTTTGTAATACAGAGTTCTAGTTTATCATATTTTAGTGAACATGTATTCTCTGGCCCTTTACATATTAACCTTTACATTTAGTACAGTTGCTTGTGTTTTTCTACCTATATTTTATAACAGCCTTTAATTCCTTTATTAATAGGGAAAAAATATACCATTATTTTAATTGAAATTGGGAATATTTTTTGTCGTCATTTTGGGAAAATACAGCATTTTTTAGCTAGGGGAAACAGCCTGTACTTGGCTGTATAACTAAGTCATGTTAGCATAGCAGATGGTCTCTTCTGCCAGAAGTGTGTCATGAGACCAGGAATAGGACGACGTCCATCCTCGATATACAGGGGTTACACTCACTTTCGCTCACTTCACCCCTGGAATATGTCATATCAAAATCCTAGTGATTGGTCAGTTTTTTTTCTCTCAAAACAGTTTTTTTCTCTCAAAAGGCTAGCCGGGTGCCTTCAATTTTGCTATGACATATTCCAGGGGTGTAGAGAGCAAAAGTGAGCGCAACCCCTGGATTTCGAGGATGGACAACGTCATGTAAGCATATATAGAAACCTCTAAATTTTCAAGTTATTGAAAGAAACTTGTTTGGCCACTGTACAGTTTAAAAATGATATACTTACACTTTTTACTGTTGATCGTAATGGGGCTGCCATTCTTATCAGGGAATGGAAATTCCTTTGATTGGCAGTTTTGAAACATGAAAATAGTTGTGGCAGCATATTGTTCTGAAATAAATTAAACTAGTTTATGAATTCCTTATTTTCTCAATAATTCATGAATCAATTTTACCTGTAATACTATGGTCCAATACAACAAATATCATATGATTGATTGATAGGTTTTACGCCCGCTTCACTACCAAGAAGTTCGGTTATCCAGCAAACGAAATATATATATATCATATGCTTAAAGAAGCTACGTATAATTACTAAATAGTTTTTGGTGCCTCGGTAGCCGTGATCGCTAACGCGCTGAGTCATTGTACTACTGTGTGATATCAAGTGTGAGCTTCAGACCACACGCCCTCCCAATAATTTTGGTTCGATCCCCAGCGGTGGTGGAAAAAAGAGTGATGTCTGATAGGGTTAGTTGTTATCACTCCGATGGCACGGTGGTTTTCTCCCCGTGGGTTTTCCTCCACCACGAAAAACACCATTTGTTCCTTTAGCGGCGTCGTAATAAAAGCTCTACAGAGCTTATGTTTGTTGTTGACTATTTTACACGACGTTAAACAAAGATTATTATTATTATTATTAATCGTCTTCTTTTGAATAGTTTTTCTCAGCTCTTGTTTCAAATTCATGCAAAATAAAACATGGACGTAGATTTTAATTTTAAGGAAGTTTTATCAATAGACAATAAACATTGTTATACTTAATATAAAATATTATATAACTCAAATCTTCTTCAAAGGAAACTTATTTTGTTTACGCTTTGATTTCACTAACAGAATATATATATCAATAGTGACCTCCCTTGACATGAATTCTATAAATGTCTAAGCAGAGATTCAGATGAAAGAAATTCCGAATATGAAATTTTATCATAATGTTTATTTTTATTTTCCTGAACGCATCTTCTGCTTGCTAGTTATCTTCCGGAAAATAGCGTAAGTTTCTGTCAACTGCAACATTCCTCTCGAAATAAAATAACTTACCATCATCGGTCTACAGGTTCTTGATCGAATGACAGTTCTACCTGTAAACAAAGCTCGGTGCAAGGCACACATAGTTGACATCTTGTTTTATAGTCGCAAACACTAACTTTTGCGTTGCAAAACCAATCGGTTTTGTAACATGCCGTACACAACCTGAAAGTATGGTCGTTCAGTTGTTGTAGTAATAAATGTCCTTTTCGTATGCAATGCGCAAGGTGCGTAACTTATTCGTGTTAAACCGGAAATAAACTTTTTATTTTAGAAATAAAACAGACAGACAGAAAATTTCCGGAAACAAAAAATATATATTATATATAAGCATATTTCATTCTTTACATTATCAGAGATAAAAGTAAAATATAAAGTGTAAAGGGAATATATGATTGAATTGGATGAAGAAAAACCCATGGATGTACTCAGGCGCGAAGAGATATATTTTGCATCGGTGTGGTCAGAGACGTATATACATTTTGTATATTCTCTGCATGGTGTACATGTGGTATATAGTTGTATTTAGTGTCTAACTGATTTTCTGCATTCAGATTGATTTTTCAATTTGAGTAAAACATTATCATGAAAATTAATGCACATTTTATAACTTTCTGATTGTTTAATACGTGTGGTGTCATCATATTATTTTTTTGACCTGACTATACATGTGCACTGCGTCGCTTCTTTCCTTTCCCGCGTTTCTCCCTTCCTTTCCTCTTTTTGGCACTTAACTTACAATAGATAGAACCACATATGATGGACACACTAATATTCCGTGTATACCATATATAATATTATTATGTAGTACATACAGATCATATTAGTATTTCTAGAACCGCTTTCATCAGCAAGTATATGAAATGGCAGCACCGGCTGTATGCTCCCTATAGGGAGTTGAGAAAGATCTTGGCCCTATATATATAACCACGGATAATTATAACTTGTGAACCGCTTTCAGACGACCTACGAACTAGGTTGTGAAAAAGCGGTATATACGAACCTCTAATTATTGTACAATAGTGTTTTATATTGTTTTAGGGATTTATCTTCGAATGTATAATCAAAAGAAACATCGAATAGCATGTCGAAGTACTTTGTGCAAAAGAACCCCCAGTTGCCTGTTCGACGGATGGATGGATGACGGGTTTCGCGCCTGCATGAATCCGCCCTTACGGGTTTCATCTCACTGACGGAAGTCAGTGTTCAGTCGGCGCCCTGTTCGACATAGGAAAGAGTATTTTATACCTTTACAATTACATAGTTATATGTTAAGTAATATTTTAGATTAGAAGGGAAAGTGGTTGCCGGAATGAACCGCTATGAAATAAAAATGACAATATTTTCAACTGTTTCTGTTTGAATAGATACACATATCTCGATTATTAGGATTTATTAGGATACATTATGGACACAGGCGCGTGGTCGTTATGGTAATATCAATATTGTAGAAAAAAAACTAGAATATTGCATTGTCGATTAAAACTTAACCGATTTCTGTTCGGAGTAGTTAAGGGATTTTTGAACCCTTTAAGATGATATCAACTCTTTTAACATACTGTACTTTACACATCAATCGCAAAAGTGGAGGCCGGAATGAATCGATGTCGAATGAAAAATTGTTAAAAAAAAATCATCGTAAAGTTTTGTCTTTCTTGACCAATTACTCGTTGATTACTGCAGTGATTTGTGTTTGGCAACCTCTCTAGGCAAGATAATTTTATAGTTTGTAATTTGATATAAATTTCATTAATATTAATTAAGAACTTGTTGCAAAAGTGGTGGCCGGAATGCACTACATTCTCAGGTATGCTACAGGACATACTACCAAAGTCCTTAAAAATGGTAGTTGTTATTCCCTGCTTAACGTTCAACATTTAGGGTAATGGCAACGACTGGTTCACCCGTTGTCAGTATAATGCGACCACGAAATGCTGTGCTGGGTGCCTTCGGCATAGCATTTCAGTGAGATAGCACTATAAAGTCGGCATCAGATCCGCGCTATCACAAGGAGGCAAGAACACCAACATACCCTGTCGCCTGCATACACACACGCAAACACCCAACGCATACACTACACACATGGAGGCACGTCCTTAAATGACCTTAGCTGTTAGTAGGATGTTAAACAAAATCAAACAAAACAAAACAAAACCATCTCAGATATGCTTAAACAACAGAAGATGCTGGCCTCAGAACACGATTGATTTCCCTTTATGTTCTTAACAAAAAAAAGTCCTTTAAAAAGTTCTACAATTTTGCTCGAAACCAGATTTGTAAGCCCCAGTCACACTATCACGGTATTGGCCACGGTATACCCCGGATGATCATGGCCATCTCTCAACAGTTACCTACGGCGTTGTTAGGGTATTACTACGGTTATTACTGCTCCGATACCACTACGGGTGGTGCAGTGGATAGCGCACTCGCCTTTCACCAAGGCGACCGGGGTTCGATTACCCAATCGGACGTGAAAAGGTATAGGGTCACATGCCCGACCACGTGGGTTTTCCCAGGGTACTCCGGTTTCCTCCCACATTAAGACCCTACCATCCGCGCCAACAAGAGTGATTAATATAAGTTGAAAGAACTTGTTTCATAATTGTTGTAAAATAAATAAAGTTTTTATTTTTATTTATACCACTACGGACCACCACGATACATCCAGGTACCACTATGGTATCATCAAGGATTGTCAAGGTATCGTAAGAATACGGTTTGTCCGGGTTTCCAAGGTTATACTACGGTCTGCCAATGTGGCGCTACGTCATCTTCGGTTCCATCACGGTGTAACTGCGGTAAACCTACGATTTTCTTTAACTGACTAAACAAGAAGCAAGTCTCGAACTACTTTTTTGTTCTTCGCCGCTGAATACATGTAACTTGGACCATCACCATGTAGTTTGCAACTTGCTACATGCTCAATTCTAGAAGCCAGTTAATCAGCTGAAGTTTGTTTCTGTGGTTGTTGATGACAAAGTCTGTAAGTGACCATTTCCAAGACTGAAGTACCTTGTGAGTTGGAGCAATTGTTTTACCCAATTTAAAGCACCCTGACCAACCTTATTCCTGCCGTCACTGCCGTACAGCAAAAGGCCTTGTCCCGCTATCCAGGACAGCTTTTGGTGAGTTAAAAAAACCTATGCATGACAGACATGTTAAGGATAATTCAATTATGTAAACGTAACCCCGTTGTATTCATCATCAAGGGCCTCACAACATACCATATCCATCCGCCAAAATAAATTTCGCTCAAATTAATCCAACCCGTTAATCAAAGCGGAAACGATCATGCTTCACTTTGGTATGACAAATACTTGCATTTAATTCACATGAAATAAATAAAAGCTCATTTTAAAACGAACCAAAAGTTAAGAAATGCACTACATTTCAAAGAGGTATTTCGACTGCCGGAAAATGAAGATGAGACCACGGTCTCTTTTCTCTATTCGGTATATCCTCAAGGAAATACACAATGCACGAAACTTAACCCAAACAGAAAGAAAGGGAATGTTACTCAGCATAAGAAGAAGTTTAGACTTCCATGGTCAGCCTTCTATGATTTTAGCGACCGGAAAAGACTGAAACGACCATATGGTGAGTACACGACTAACGTTAATCAGGGCGAACTGTCATGACTAACCTCGCGTTAGTTATTTGAGTCTATGTAGGCTATAAGTGATATCAATTTTGAAGTTATTATTGTGTAGAGGTTGGAATGGACACGATCTTCAGGCCACAGACATTTGTGTTAAGCAGCTGCATGTAAAATGTAAATACAGGCGAAATAGCAAATACCTTGGTCTGACACGAGTGCACGTGCATGCTGTACATGTACCGATACAAATCTTTTCTGGACACGCACAATATCAGTAATTCAGTACACAGCTAAAGTTATATAGGTAAATCTAATGTGTGTTAAAATGAAATGGAATCGTTCTCGACTTCACGGCTGGCTTTTGAACATGTTACCTGCAAAGTAATTCGTCTTGTTGAACCATATACTGTGCTGTCGTAATGTATTCATGAGCATGGCACAGGATTTGGTTCCAGTTCTGGTATTTCTTCTCACTTTTACTGAAGGGACTATATCTGTTAAGATAGCGTGGCTCAATTCCTGGTGCCTTAGCTCAAATAGGCCAACTTATGTTAACATGACGTAGCCCCATTCTTGGTTTCATGACTCACCTCTGGCAGAAGAGACCATCCTATGTTAACATGACGTAGTACAATTCCTGGTATCATGACTCACTTCTGGCAGAAGAGACCATCCTATGTTAACATGACGTAGTCCCATTCTAGGACACATGACTCACTTCTGGCAGAAAAACCCAGCCTATGCTAACATGACGTAGGCCCATTCCTGGTGCCATGACTCACTTCTGGCAGAAGAGACCATCCTATATTAACATGACGTAGTCTCATTCCTGGCCCTATGACTCACCTCTGGCAGAAAAGACCATATTTGTTAACATGACGTAGTCCAAATCCTGGACATATGAATCACTTCTGACAGAAGAGACCTTCCCATGTTAATGTGACGTAGGCCCATTCTTGGTCTCATGTCTCACCTCTGGCAGAAAAAACCATCGTATCCTAATATGACGTACATGTAGGCCCATTCCTGGTCTCATGACCACCTCTGTCAGAAGAGACCATCATATGTTAACATCACGTAGTACTATTCCTGGTCTCATGACTCACCTCTGGCAGAAGAGATCATCCTATGTTAATAAAAAAAAAAGGCTTGACGTAGTCCTATTCCTGGTCCCATGACTCATATTTGGGTTTGACAACAACATCATCATCATCATCATTATCATCATCATCATCATCATCATCATCATCATCATCATCATCATCATCATCATCATCATCATCATCATCATCATCATCATCATCATATCATCATCATCATCATCATCATCATCATCATCATCATCATCATCATCATCATCATCATCATCATCATCATCATCATCATCCCTTACATCACCATCTGCATTGTCATTGTCATTGCATCCTTCATCATAGAGAACAGAGACAATCAGTGTTCATCAATAACAACAACAACCACATGTTCATCTAGGAGCGAGCCTTTATCCACAGATGAAATCATTTCATCTTCAAGTACATCACTTAACAGTTGCTGGAATTTGTCTTCAGATTCGAAGGCATAATATTCCACAAATACAAATGTTTACAAGCCTTAGTGTAATGCACTGATAATAAGACTTTGTATGCATCTCTCTGACATTCAATAAGATTCTTGCGTTGGGATAGACACATGGTTCTAAGCTGATATTTAGTAGAGTGTAGACATATCATTATTGTTCTTCAGTCCTCAAGTGAACATTATGGTTATTGTTATTGGTTTTCCATAATACCATCTTTATTCTTTAATGAATATTTATTGTTTTATTTGAATAGTTGGATCAAGATTTTGAAGGCAATTTCTTGGAAGCTGAACATCTTTTCCTGACTGTCATTATGTGTGCATGCATGATATAAAAGACTTTCTTCACTGTCAAGAACTGTGTTTATATGGTGTCGTTATTGTTACAAACTTAGGCTAGGGTGACATTATGATATTTCATTTCATAATGATGAAGGGATACTATTTTGCAAATTATTACCACTCTCTGGTATTCCGTTGTTCTGGTACATATGCCATCTGATTTTATGGAGATAAATATAAGTAACCTGTACAGGACACAGGTTGTCAAGATAAATTGTTCAGTACTCTTAGGATGGACAGACTGTCCAGGTAAGTTGTTCAGTACTCTTAGGATGGAAGGTATTGTACAGGTAATTTGCTCAGTACTCTTAGGATGGACGGTATTGTCCAGGTAAATTGTTCAGTACCCTTAGGATGGACGGTATTGTCCAGGTAAATTGTTCAGTACTCTTAGGATGGAAGGTATTGTACAGGTAAATTGTTCAGTATTCTTAGGATGGACGGTATTGTACAGGTAAATTGTTCAGTACCCTTAGGATGGACGGTATTGTCCAGGTAAATTGTTCAGTACTCTTAGGATGGAAGGTATTGTACAGGTAAATTGTTCAGTACCCTTAGGATGGACGGTATTGTACAGGTAAATTGTTCAGTACTCTTAGGATGGACGGTATTGTCCAAGTAAATTGTTCAGTACTCTTAGGACGGACGGTATTGTCCAGGTAAATTGTTCAGTACTCTTAGGATGGAAGGTATTGTACAGGTAGATTGTTCAGTACCCTTAGGATGGAAGGTATTGTACAGGGAAATTGTTCAGTATTCTTAGGATGGAAGGTAATGTACAGGTAAATTGTTCAGTTCCCTTAGGATGGAAGGTATTGTACAGGGAAATTGTTCAGTACCCTTAGGATGGACGGTATTGTACAGGAAAATTGTTCAGTACTCTTAGGATGGAAGGCATTGTACATGTAAATTGTTCAGTACTCTTAAGATGGAAGGTATTGTACAGGTAAATTGTTCGGTACTCTTAGGATGGAAGGTATTGTTCATGTAAATTGTTCAGTACTCGTAGGACGGACGGTATTGTACAGGTAAATTGTTTAGTGCTCTTAGGATGGACGGTATTGTACAGGTAAATTGTTTAGTGCTCTTAGGATGGACGGTATTGTACAGGTGAATTGTTCAGTACTCTTAGGATGGACAGACTGTCCAGGTAAGTTGTTCAGTACTCTTAGGATGGAAGGTATTGGACAGGCAAATTGTTCAGTACCCTTAGGATGGAAGGTACTGTACAGGTAAATTGTTCAGTACCCTTAAGATTAAAGGTATTGTTCAAGTAAATTGTTCGGTACTCTTAGGATGGAAGGTATTGTACATGTAAATTGTTCAGTACTCTTAAGATGGAAGGTATTGTACAGGTAAATTGTTCAGTTCTCTTAGGATGGAAGGTATTGTACAGGTAAATTGTTCAGTACCCTTAAGATTGAAGGTATTGTTCAAGTAAATTGTTCAGTACTCTTAGGATGGACGGTATTGTACAGGTAAATTGTTCAGTATTCTTAGGATGGAAGGTATTGTACAGGTAAATTGTTCAGTACCCTTAGGATGGAAGGTATTGTACATATAAATTGTTCAGTACTCTTAGGATGGACAGATTGTACAGTTAAATTGTTCAGTACTCTTAGGATGGACAGATTGTACAGGGAAATTGTTCAGTACTCTTAGGATGGAAGGTATTGGACAGGTAAATTGTTCAGTACCCTTAAGATTGAAGGTATGGTTCAAGTAAATTGTTCAGTACTCTTAGGATGGAAGGTATTGGACAGGTAAATTGTTCAGTACCCTTAAGATTGAAGGTATTGTTCAAGTAAATTGTTCGGTACTCTTAGGATGGACGGTATTGTACAGGTAAATTGTTCAGTATTCTTAGGATGGAAGGTCTTGTACAGGTAAATTGTTCAGTACCCTTAAGATTGAAGGTATTGTTCAAGTAAATTGTTCAGTACTCTTAGGATGGACAGATTGTACAGGGAAATTGTTCAGTACTCTTAGGATGGAAGGTATTGGACAGGTAAATTGTTCAGTACCCTTAAGATTGAAGGTATGGTTCAAGTAAATTGTTCAGTACTCTTAGGATGGAAGGTTTTGTCCAGGTAAATTGTTCAGTACTCTCAGGATGGACGGTATGGCCCAATACACTAATTCCATGGCAGACCATGTAAAACAAGCTGTTAAAGAAGTTATCCTGGAAATAGACTGACACTGTTGTCTTTAGCTGGTGATATTATAGTCTTTCAGCTAACCAGTAATCACTCGACTACATAACTGTTATTGTGCGATACATGTGCAACACATTGCTCTAGTAAGAAACGTTAGTAGGCGACCATACAAAGTAGCCACAACCTCATGAGAAACCGTGTTTGCATATCATAACTAGTATTCTACGGCAATACTCGTAAAAAGCGAAATTGCAGGGAAGATTAAATGTAATTCCTATGTAGATTTGGCTTCCGTTCATAATATTATTTAAGAAGACATTGTATGCTTCAACGCATTCAAGATGATTCAACTACTCAAAGTCGAGAACACAAAGAAACTTAATAATGTAGGTACGTTTTCAACATTAGCAAGTTAACGTAGAAACTATTTAATAGCAGGTTACGACTAGAACTGGTCATGCAGATAATATATACGTTGAATGTATGTGTTTTTACAATTACAAACATGATAATGAGGCGGCACACCTTAGTTTCATTGGTAATTCAAATAAGGCTGAATCGGGCCATTTGATAAATTAATAGAATCACATTTCAAACTGATCAGGGGCATACTTAACAATTCATTAAGAATAAATTGTATTCCTATCATCTGTTTTCATTTGCTCATTAAGTAAAACGCATATTAAATTTCACAGAAGAGATGGAAATGGTACATTGACGCGTATGTTTGTTGTCATATAATATGCGTATCAAAATGAAATGCAATGTCATGACGTACACGTGTATCAGCATTTCGATCATGAAATTCCATGTGTTATGCTCTCTGCACCCCTAAAATATGTCAAAACAAAATCAAGGCCCTGTACGCGGCACCTTGGGGATGATGTTAAAGTACAAGTACGCGTAACCCCTGAAATTTCGAGGATGCATTTCAATATAAATATACATTATAAATGGAACATTCAACACTAAACATAAACATCATTGGCAAATCACTTTATTAAAACCATGCAACATTCTGTTGCAAAAGTCAATTAACATAAAATTATATTAATATTAGAATCAATAAAATATTTAATATTCGTTACAATATATCTGACAGATTAATGAAATGAGTATGTACACTTTCGGTATTAGCTAACACAGGTAAAGAATGTTACTTCAAAAGATGAAATGTCCCTCCATGTGTTGTTTCCAGTTGGTTGTTGTTGTTCATTGTAATAAACAAATCGACGTTGTGAAATATAATGGGTTTTCAGGGAGCCAATATACATGTACAGTGCTTCTTAAAAAAAAGATTTCTTCACATTTTCATAATATACGATCAAAAATACATATTATACAAAATGTAACAACTCATCCACCTAACGACGTAGGTGATAGTGTTACATGTATACAAATGAATCCCTTACACAATCAAGTTTTACTTACTGATATATATATGTATATGTATGGATATGTGATATATTTCAGTAGTATTGCCCGTGTATGTCAGAACAAGGATAGTTATAGGCCTGCAATCAATCATATTCTCAGCCGACTTCACCCCTAAAAGAATTCATTCATTCTACCATGTTGGCGATGTAATGACAATTTTCATTGGTCAATAACCACATTGGACGAAATATACACAAGAGAGTCGAGGTTTGGTTCCTTTTGTCTGATGAATGAAAACGCATTTATTTTTGTATATGTTTGAAGATTTGCTTCCGGACAAACAAACAAAATAATATTTAACCTCTAGGTCTACTAAAATCCTGTAAAGCTCACAATCCGAGTGTATCGCCAATCCTTCCATGAAGATGGCTTGAAATAGTGATTTTAAGTCTAATATAAGTTTTGATTTCATGTGTTGACGAGCCATGCAAATATATTGGTGCTTTTGATCGATTGAAATGAATGTCTTTTATAAGGCATGACGTAAGTGTAAAATGTTTATAGTATGTCAAATTGAGAGAAACTAAGTGGCGACAGAAAAAGAAGCTTGTGGGGATTTACACCAAACATTGGAGAAACGGGCTTTCATGCATGAAATTGGTGACTTTCAACAGCCGTTCACTCAATTTATTTAGTTCGAAGGGTCACGTCAAGACAGCAGGTTACCCAGGCAAAATAGGACAACTGCCCACAACGTTCAGAAATGGTAAAAACGAGCAGCTTGCTACGCATCACGTGATAAGCATTTGCACCCGGATAATATAGATCACCTTGCATACTGTAGGCCTAAGAGGACACTGATTGGGACACGAAAACACACATTCCTTACATCTTGCTTGGTTAAATACATAATTATAATTAGCATATGCTAGAATGTATGGTGTAATATGTAACTCGGGATTCGGAAATGTTCGTAAATAATTCACTACCGAAACTGCCTTCGTTAATTATTTTCCGAACATTTCCTCACCCTTATTATATTATGCAATCATACTAACCGATATATACGTTAATTATTTCTTTAAATAGTAGACTTACATAGACTATACCAGCGAGAGGTATTATTGATGTCGTGGATAAAAAACTGTAATGTCTCCTTCAAACGAGGGTAATATATATGTATTTTTATTTTTATACTGTATATTGTTTTAAACCTAGATAAGTGTAGTTAATTTAGAGGCGCATATATTGTCATGTCTCCCTCATATGACGGTTTTATACATTTTATTAGAAAGAGTTGTACAGCCACGATACGATCTGACTAACACACGTAGTGAAAGGGATATTATGTCATTACATATGGATACATATATCTAGAGACAGAGAGCGGGATTAGATATAGAAATCTGTGCCCTACAGCTAGGACGATATTGCTATATACACTGTATAAACATGTTAGAGTTACACGTCTAAACGGTTTTACCCTGTAATAGAACTTTAACATAAAGATAGGTTGTTCTAGATATATATCCTTTTATCAGAAAGTGTTAACATCGACCAAAAGAAGAAATTAATTTTCTACTGCGAGGAGTGGAAGAGTCCCACAAGCAATGGAGGTCTGTGTTAGTATTGTCGACAGAAAGAAGAGGAGCATTAATACATAGCAATAAAACAGACACCAAATATCACTCATAGGTTTGTTCCTTCTACAGAAAGGAGTTAAACTCTTTCATAGATCAATAGGAAAGACACACAACCATTGGATGTCCGTTCCATATACTAAGAGACTAGGTAATATGAATCCATCAGCAGGACCCTCTACTGAAAGAGTTGTGACGATTAGGAAGGTTACATAGGCACTGTCAGATCAGTACAGCTGTATCAGGAAGGTAACATAAGCACTGTCAGATCAGTACAGCTGTATCAGGAAGGTTACATAGGTACTGTCAGATCAGTACAGCTGGACCATCTACTGTGAGAGTTGTGACGATTAGGAAGATCACATAGGCACTGTCAGATCAGTACAGCTGGACCATCTACTGTGAGAGTTGTGACGATTAGGAAGGCTTCATAGGCACTGTCAGATCAGTACAGCTGTATCAGGAAGGTTACATAGGAACTGTCAGATCAGTACAGCTGTATCAGGAAGGTAACATAAGCACTGTCAGATCAGTACAGCTGTATCAGGAAGGTTACATAGGTACTGTCAGATCAGTACAGCTGTATCAGGAAGGTAACATAAGCACTGTCAGATCAGTACAGCTTTATCAGGAAGGTTACATAGGTACTGTCAGATCAGTTCAGCTGGACCATCTACTGTGAGAGTTGTGACGATCAGGAAGGTTACATAGGCACTGTCAGATCAGTTTAGCTGTATCAGGAAGGTACATTTTAACATAAGCACTGTCAGATCAGTTCAGCTGTACCCTCTACTGCGAGAGTCGTGGCGATCAGGAAGGTTACATAGCCACTGTCAGATCAGTACAGCTGTATCCTCTACTGAGAGAGTCGTGACGATTAGGAAGGTCTGCTTTACTGAAGTGCTGTAGAAGGAGTTCTAACGAATTGAAGAAAACTTTGTGGTCTATACTGAATTGTCCATCCTGTAAGTATAAATGAACAAATGTAACTAGTGTCAACAAACAATGGCTAAGTGAGAGTTCAAATTATCATAGTGTCAACACACACGAAACGAGTTGGAATCAAACATATATACATGTATAGCAAGGAAAAAGTCAGACTTCAAAGTCAAATCATGAAGACAACTACAGTTATGAAAGGAACAAAATGTTTCCTGCATCAACTGTGACAGCATAGCGGCTGTTCCCCATCAAATCTAGGCAAGACGATTGAAAAAACGCTAAGAGGTCTTAAATAATAGTAAACACAGAAATACTATTGTAGGAAATCAAGTCGTGGTGATGACTAAAAAAATCCCTAAGCGTAAATTTAATCCTTTTTGATAGGAAACCCTAACAAAGTATGTCAATGGTTAACAGAACGCATCTTTCCACGATGTCATGCTATTTTAACTTACTCTTGAATAGCGGATATAAACTTCACATGATTTCAAATGTAGGAGATGCTGGTATGTTACATGTACTACTAAGAAACGTTATTTAATCATTATCGCCAGGTACGCGATAGAGTTTAGTAGATAAGGGACCATTGCTGTCATTCTGTAATAAAATACGAAGCGGAAGTAACTCTTCATCATTATAATACATGCACAACTACATTATCATAAGGGTAGACATAATGTATTCCTGATTGCTGATCAAATGTAAGAACCATATTGCTCATGGAATAAGGACAGACTGAATTTATGTATAGCTCAAACACTTCGTTGAATTGAGTTCAATGACTTAAACTGTGTTTATGTTTAAGTAAATTGTCAAATTTTATGTGGAAATTGGAATTCGTCACCCGACGTTAAAGGTCACAAGATTTTAAACTTTACCTTTCGGAATATTTTGAATTCCTTCATGCCGTCAACTGTTTGAACTGACAATACCTAAACAAAATAATAAGTTCATTACTTTTTTTATATAATTAGTAGACAAACATGTAACTGTTTTGAGGATATTGAAACAAAAAACAGTTACAACGTTTGAAAATATGTGTTAAAGCTCACAGAGATAATTTTTAACACTTAATTAATTATACTAACAATTTCAATCTAGTTACTACAACTTTTTTTAATTAATTGATTTGTTTTTACATGCTTTACCAAAGCATGACGTCACAATGTGTGACATTTCCACATTACATATTGCAAACAGTATGTGATGGTGTAGATGTATTACACTGGTCAGCATCCTTCGTACTGTGAAATCAGATTTTCGTGCGTCCTCAATTTTGTGTTTTCCCGACAAAACACAATTTCTTGGGTACAGTAATTCATTGACTACGAGTACACACTTAAACGTATAATTGTTTATATCAAACTTGTAATTACTTCGTCGACCTATGAATTAATGGATGAAGATTACCCACGAAATCAACGAAATACAAATAAACACGAAAATTAGTGATTTCACAGTACTGTATATGATACATAAATTCATTTATTTGTAAATTTTGTTTGACAAAGTCGATTTCATTATTTATAAAACAAACAGCGTAATTTCAACCAGATTTCATTATCCTAGGATTGTTATCAACCTAATGTTGGAGGTTTTAACCACCTTTTAACATTTAACCACGTGTTTGCCTGGATGTTAATTTGCTAATAAATACATTATATAGTGTACAACATATATCGCTTGGTCACATAATCTGAACAAATATTTATAGATCCAATCAAATATTTTATTCGTGTGGAACCATATTCCTCTCAAAATATAAGTGATGTAACGATTACAAAGAAACTATGTTTCTCAGCATATTAACTTATCATTTCCAACAATACTATGGCTCCCATCAAAATTCTATACGTATAGGAAACGGGGAACATTGAACAGTTGTTTTACTGCCTGCAACATATGTAGCTAATTATATTGTATTTTGCAGTCACTATACTACAATAGTTGCCAGATTTGTATACCTATAGTTCCTGTCCCACAGAAAGGCCATTCATTGAACAAATCTCGAACTTGTTTTCTTTTGAAACTAATTATATTGAAACTCTAAAAAACGTAGTTGTTTATGTACATGTCGTTATCTTGATATCAGATATAGGCATCATATAACTTACCAAAAATGTCCTAGATGCAATTTATATTTTTAGGGATTTAAACTAAATGATCATTCATACAGGAGTGTTATTAAAAAGTGTGAATTAATTTATTGACATCATAATCGTATTAACTCAATAGCGAATTCGGTTTAAAAAACATTCAAGGCGCTATTTAAATGATTTTATCGTACTGTTATCTATCAGTAGTTATTAAATATTTACTTTAAGCCTAGCTTAATGATGTACTTACCTCACTATCATTTGCTCTTGACTGTCTTACTAAGTACGTCCCTGCATCTCTGCCACTTAGAATACTGAAACATTAGCAGGTTTTATATTAAATGGAAATTCACAAGCGATGCTAACTCCACTTATTTAGCGTATTTTTGCTGTTTAAACGACTACTCACAATAAGCATGGATCAGTTTCAGTGTTAGAGAAAATTAAACCGCACCGAAACGTCATGTAAGTGAAATCCGAAATGAATACCCACTTACAAAGAAGCACCGGAAGAATTCGTGTAATATAGTTTTGCTAAGAATAATATATTTCGGTCGTTTTTTTAAATTATTTCATTACAATTTCTTTTATGAAACACATGCCTCATCATTAATGCGATGAATAGCTAATTATTAAATAGTGTGCGTTAATTACGACAATAAATGCATTGCTATCACTGTAAAAGTTCTGATGAATTCCAGTATTCATTATTGATAGATTTTCTGGTTGTTACCAACAAAACAAATGCTAAAAAGTATGGAGAGTAAGATGCAATGAAGGATTTTGTCAGATTAGGTATAGTGAATGTAGCTTCCTTAAGTAGCTGTGACGCACCTTAATAAATACATCCACACCGGGTGTAATCAACCGATACTTTACACTTGGTGAGTGATGGACTAACGAGGACGGCATATAGACAAGCTCATTTGGCATTTTAGAATTATGCCAGAATTCACAATTTTAATTTGATTTCATTAATAGCATTACGGTTTAGGCTTTCTTTGTTCGTAGAAAAACAATCTTTAAATATAATCTTTGTACATTAATCGAAATCTACAAACCAAAAGCTGTACACCGATGTATTAGATACATGTATAACGAACACAGCATTCCAAATACACGCATATTGTTTGTAGGTATCCTAAAGGAATTATACATTTAACCAATGCAGATACTGAGAGATTCTAAACAGTAATTATTGACTGCATTCAACCGAGCAAATTCCAGCTACTTACTTCTGAGCTTGGATACGATCTGAACTCTTGTATTCAAAGTCCTCCCTAGATATATCTCGCTTCTGCAAATTAAAACACATACTATAATTACGTGCACCAGATTTGTACACTGGTACACAGAAGCAAACATGACCTAAAGCACACAGTAACTACGGTACACTTTATGTGTACACCACCGCTCACAGACAATGATGACGTAGAGCACACGCATAAAGTAGTGACCTGTTTAACAAAGTGAACTGTGAATTACCAAGTACAGTGTTCAGATTGGGATAAAGAAGACTGTCTGGTTTTTAGGTCAAACATTATTACATAATAAGACACTGTTGACAGATCCTTATATATATTAAATTTGTTTTTGTCCTTGTCCATCACCGGCGAAAATTTGTATAGGCCATATGCATTGTCAACCCCTTTCATGAAAAGATATGTTGAAATAAATCTGTATGCAGGCTCTTGGTGTAAAATTCGCTTACTATGAGAAGGATGGATAGTACACAGCACGCATGCCTCGAATTCCTGGTATTTTATATTTGTTGAAATATATTGTGTCTAGTAAACGGAAAGGAAGAAAACCAATGTGTACATTTAATGTCATGTCTTACTGACTAAAACACTGACAAGTCATCAAGGGCCCTGCCATGTGTATTACCGTCACCTATCGTCAATGGTCTATTTTTAGTAACAGTAACACCGACCTTGACATTGAAAACTTTTTAAACTCCTCTTGCAAATCTACATATAATGTATATAACCATGTCAAGTTAAAAAAACAGATTTTTGATTCCGAAATAAGGACTGTAGCCACATGTTTTTTAAGTAATAGTGACATTAACATTGGGAACTTTTTAAATCCAAATTGCCCATCTACATATCATAGTTTACTGTAGTGACCTTGATGTTGTAAAAACATAAACCCATATTGCACATCTACATATCTAAGTATATCACCATGTCAAATTTTAAAAAGATAAGACTTTTAGATTCCGATATGAAATCTGTTCCCCGACGGTTTATTTTAAGTAACAATAACCCTGACCTTGACCTTAGATTTGTTTTAAATACTTATTGCACATCTTCATTTCAAAATGCATCACAAAGTCAAATATCAGAAACATTAGTCTTCTGGATTCCAAGGTAATTTCCCGAAGCAAAAGTGTGGAATCAGACACCGTGATTACTATAGGGCACCCGCATCTTCGATGTGAAGCCCTATTATGAAAGCAAACACAGTCTTAGGGAATATTATTGTGTCGCTTACAAGTAATGGTTTTTCTGCTGGCACAGGTTTTTTTGGTTTCCGCATAGGAGGCCCTTCCTTCTTTTTAACTGGCTCCGATTTAGGAATAGCTGTTGTTGAAATATAAAAAAATGAGTTGCAGATCAGCTTATTACAGCTTTTATCTACAGCTTTTCCGAAGAAGGAGAATTAGGAGAGTTAGCCGACATACATACTGTAGGAATTGGGACTATATATATATATATTATAAATCAGAAAAAAGATCCTTACGGACGAATAAATATTGTATAAAGAAAATTCATCTCTTCTAGGAGATTCTTCAGACTCCGAAGAATCTCCTAGAAGAGATGAAAGTACTAAAGACTCATTGTTAAGATTTTTTCTTTATACAATATATATATATATATATATATTTATATTGTACAATGTATATCAGCGTCAACACACGAGTACACAATGTACTAAAGCGTCAACAAATGAGTACGAAAATAAATATTCTACAGCATCAACACTCTAGTATGAAAACATATTACAACATTAAACTCAATTACGAATATATACAACAGCATCAACAACCGAATACAAAATATACTACAGCATCAACAACCGAGTACAACATACAGATAACAGATATACTGCAGCGTCAATACTCGAGTAGTACAAAATAAACTACAGCATCAACACACGAGTAAAACATAAACTACAGCATCAACACACGAGTAAAACATAAACTACAGCATCAACACACGAGTAAAACATAAACTATAGCATCAACACACAAGTACAACATAAACTACACCATCAACACACGTGTCAACACAAAGAACACCCAGAAACCACAACGTCAACACAAAGACAACAGAAACCACAACGGCAACACGAAGACTACATATGCTGCAGCGTCAACACAGAGACAACAGAAACTGCAACGTCAACACGGAGACATCAGATACTGCAACGTCAACACGGAGACAACAGATACTGCAACGTAAACACTCTAGTACGATAGTATTCTACAACATTAACACGCGTGTTCAAAATTACATGACAGCATCAACACTAGAGTACGAAAATAAACAACAGCATCAACATCAAGTACGAAAACAAACTGCAACATCAACACTCGAGTACAACATAATAACAGCATCAACATTTGAGTACAACATACATAACAGCATCAACACCTGAGTACAACATACATAACATCATCAACACTTGAGTACAACATACATAACAGGATCAACACTTGAGTACAACATACATAACAGGATCAACACTTGAGTACAACATACATAACAATATCAACACTTGAGTACAACATACATAACAGGATCAACACTTGAGTACAACATACATAACAATATCAACACTTGAGTACAACATACATAACAGCATCAACACACGAGTACAACATACATAACAGCATCAACACACGAGTACAACATACATAACAGCATCAACACACGAGTACAACATACATAACAGCATCAACACTTGAGAACAACATACATAACAGCATCAACACCTGAGTACCACATACATAACAGCATCAACACTTGAGTACAAACTACCCAACAGCATCAACACTTGAGTACAACATACATAACAGGATCAACACTTGAGTACAACATACATAACAATATCAACACTTGAGTACAACATACATAACATCATCAACACTTGAGTACAACATACATAACCGCATCAACCCCTGAGTACAACATACATAACAGCATCAACACCTGCGTACAACATACATAACAGCATCAACACTTGAGAACAACATACATAACAGCATCAACACTTGAGCACAACATACATAACAGCATCAACACTTGAGTACAAATTACCCAACAGCATCGACACTTGAGTACAACATACATAACAGCATCAACACTTGAGTACAAATTACCCAACAGCATCAACACTTGAGTACAACATACATAACAGCATCAACACTTGAGTACGAATTACCCAACAGCATCAACACACGAGTACAAAATATACTACAGCGTTAACAATACAAGCACACACTATATCACAGCGTCAATACACGAGGACAAACTATAAAAAAGCTTCAACTCACAGGTACAAAAAAATCCTACAGCGTCAACGCCGGGGTAATAAATTATAAAAAAAAATATCAACACACAAGGGATAACCAAAATTGAGCGTCAACACAAACGAAAAATATCTACGATAACGTCAACACAAGAGGAAACACTATTCCAAATACTAAAGTGTCAATAAGCAGGGAGAACTCAGCGTCAATACCCGAAGATAAAGTATATTATTTACGTGGCAAAGGGGCCCTTGCACCGCGTGCTCCCGGTGACATTGCTTCGGTTATCTTGTCGTAATCGTCCGATTCAGTATCGGAATCAGGTTCTAAAGTAAAACAAAATAGTAAAAGGCTTAGAGAAATTCAAAAATAAGGTTGACAAGAATACTAAAAGAAAATCATCGCCAAGAACAACAGGAATCTTTTGAAAGTATTTAAAAATAATAAGCAATTACAAAATCCTTATTTCATAGTTTTTACCGTTTATGTTACTTTCTTCTTTTACAAACAGTTTGTACCATTGTTTTCGTTAGCTGTGAAGTATACTTAAGCATTACCAGCATTCTGTTCCGTGTTATGGTCCTAATGGGCGTTATGATTATTCGTCTACAATGCGTTTTTATACTTATACTTACATTTCTCTTTTTTTTAATTTTCATTTTGAAGTTCACAACGCACTTAAAGTTTCGAAATTAACGGTGTTTGTTCAAGAAATAAAACAGCCCAGGGAATTGCTCACGGAATGTTGTCTCGTGACTTTCCCCGTAAAAATATATAGTTCGTTAAAATAACATAAAAATATCGATAGTATTTCCAAAACTTAATCAATCAATATATTCAATTTAAATTTTATAATAGTCTAACATAAAATGTTGGATATTATTGAACCATAGTGACTTTTTACTTATCTGCTTGCTAGTGCGGAGGGGAATAGCGATCCGTTAGTTAGTCGGACACGTGGAGATATCACTTAGCCTGTACTATGGTCTCATAACACGGAACTGGCTTGGTAGTATTATATAGTGGCAATGCATAGCAACTGTAGATATTATCGAGGGGAGGGAGGTGATGGTTCAACAAACGGGTACCTGGTTGTTTCTTCCTATTGGTGGTTTTAATTGGTTTGTGAGGCAAAATTGGAGGATACTCTTTGACATTGACCTGCTTTTCAAGGTAAGTGTATTCATCTTCTGGTTCATCGTCGTGGCTCTGTTTGTGACTAATAACATGTCTGGAGAAAAATAAAAGTCGTATCTGTTACACTCATACATAACAAAAAAGGACAATTACAATCAGCTAGGAGTTGCAATTCTACATTTAAATATACCAAACGGACGTTTCCAACATATTGTGGCAATTTTATTATGACACCTTTAACCATACATAGTTGTATTATGCAGTTGATTAAGAGTTAAAGTGCATTCCGTTTCGAACCGCAGTCGTTTAATATTTTCAACAGGCTCGGGGACAAATCTTTTTCTTTTTCTTCTTCATCGCCTCGTTCCACCTTAACATTTCGTCCGCGCGTTTTCTCATCAACTATTTTTTGGATTCCAATGAAACTTGCCATTAGTATCGGTGCCTGTGCGTAGATGTGCCAGACACATTTTTTAACAGCTCCGCTTCTAAGATGGCCGCCGCGACCTCTTGTATGCTTACTTCTGGTCCCCCATTACAACTAGTACTTGTTAAATTTGACATTAGTTCTTAAAATTTAAAGTTGATTTTCAACAAAGGGAATTACCAAGAGATAATATCGGTAAGCTACATTCAAAGTTATGAATATGACGTCACGATCATCACTACATATTTATGGTCTTATTAATGCCAACCGTGTTTTGAAGGTTTACACATCAAAATCGAAGTAAGTACGGCATAGGTTTTAACAAAGTACTTAATTCTTGATTATTTACATACATGTATGTTTCCCTTTATCTGTCGAGAATTTAAATAAAAAACAATACTATTTTTTTATTAGGCGGAATATGTAAATACAATTTCAGGAAGCTGATTTATACTGTTACAAATCACTTACTCTTCATCGTCTTCTACAGCTTCGTTAGCTAATACCATTTCTGCTTTCAGAAGTTTCATCCATTTCTTAAACGAGAAAAATATATTCGGCTTAAACTAACAAATTAATTTCAAATGAATGAGAAAAACAGTAATCTAATTTTATAATTGATTAATTGGACCCCTTTTTTTTCGATTTGTTAGTATCAAATGTCCAATATTATGAAAATGATATGTCATAAAGTTGTACAATATCGAATTTGTATTTCTCAATAGATGAAACATAACACAAACACAGTCTATTTAGCTGTTTAAGGATGAGAAACAAATCGTTTTTTCTTTTAATCCAATGAAAAGAAAGTTAGTCATCAGAATTGTTATATTAACCGTGAAATGAGAAAAATATCAAGTGCAAAACATGAGGATTTTGTATAATAAAAAACAAGGAGTATTGGTAATTTAAATTACTTTTCTGAGAGATCAAAAATAATTTTTAAGAGACTTAATTTAGAAGAAAACACTATTTTTAACAACTTCGAACACATTCATAGACTTCTTATACCACACCTGGTAGATATGGTATGTCTTTTTTCCGCATAATATCGAAGCAATCAATTTCCATCCAAAAAACAATCGTGCATCTATGAGCTATCGTAGAGAACACAACGAGCACATGGAAATACCATTTTTCTCATATTCTCCTCTTTTAAATGAGAAATGACTTAAAAATTACTCAGTGGAAAGAAATGTCGACATAAAGGTAGATCCTTAAAGTCGTAAAACAAATCCACGTATTGTTAGAATTTAACTGGCGTGCACTTTACCTTCCGATCGTCCTCACTAGCTGATCCGAATGTAAACTGTTTGCGGTCAAATTGTTCTTTAGAGTAAAGTTTGAAGCTTTTCATGCGATCCGAGTCTTGTATTATTTCTCTAACAACTCTGAAAAAGAATATTATCCACTTTTTGAAAATAATAAGTACATTATAATACAAATTTGTTGCATGTTTTTATAGAATTGTATTATATCTTTCTCTTTGGTTTGATGTCTCCTCAGAGCACGATTTCTTATTTGCGATTGGTTTCAAATTCCGAGTGCGACATTGTGTTGAAGGTTAACAGATATCCAACTCTTCAAACATGCATATAGACACAATTATAGCTAATAAAAGAAGAAAAATGGCGCTTTTGTAAATAAAATGATCTTACTAAACCAGGTGATTTATAATGTTATTTAGTTCAGGCTAGAACAGGGGATAATGATGTACAATGAAGGTGACAGAATTGCCACTAACAGTGTAAATCTACAGAAATACTCAGGTGGTAAATACAGGTATGTTTGCAACGCCAATACATCTTGTAATTTGAGTATCATAAATTGTCTGTATATAGTACAGTTCTTTGTATCGTAACAGTCTTTTAGACTAAAAATGTTCATTAAATATGGCACAACGTTTTAATGGCACAGCCATCTTTATCAAATGGCTCAATGTTTATGTTCATCACTAAGGAAGCTAACTTATTTTATTTATTTTTATTCCAACAATCTTGAGATCCTTTACTCTGTGTCCGTTGTTGTTGAAGTGTAGCAGTACCGAGTTAAATATATCTCCAGATCTAATCAGATGTAGGTGTACTTGAATTCTTTCTTTTATCATATTTGATGTTTCACCGATGTTTACTAAATATTCACATATTTTACAGATTAGTCCAATTATGAAGTTCGATGTCCTCCAGTTAATTTTATCATTTATCCTCACTCTGTTTCCATCCTGATTCCTTACATAATCCTCAGCAAAAAGCTTACAGTTCACGCAGTTCCGTCCACATCCATTTCTTTTCATATCTTTACTTATGAAGGTTTTACCTTTCATGATCTTACTCGTTTTTAAGTGTACCAACATGTCAGCAATATTTTTATTTCTTTTAAATTCACACAGAGGAGTTTTCGGGACACAACAACGGGCACACAGTAAATGATTTCAAAATTGTAGGAATAGAAATGGTTAAGAAGCTCGGCGTGACATGGAGAAATTTTATATTAACAAACATGGTTATCTCAACCAATTGAATAAAAAGGAATAAACAATTAGTACGGAAAATTATGACGTCAAACTAACATCTACGACATAAGGTAGCTTCCTTAGTGATAGACATAAACATTGAGGCATTTGATAAAGATGGCTGGGCCATTGAAACGTTGGGCGAAAAAATCCTATTTAATTGTATATGGTAGAAATCTGTTGTTGACCGAATTTGCGATAATGCAGTGCTTCTCGTTCCGCTTCGTGATAACATGCTCAGCCAAGCACTAGCTGATTATCCATACAACCCTAACACTAATCATTTCAATAAAGCAACATTAAGGTGATATGTGAGGGATTTTTTAGTGTCAGCTTTACATGCACCTCTAACGCTACAAATCCAAACATTTCTTATATATACAACAGAATACATCAGCTCGACTTTGGTAAAGACGAAAGAGCATCTCAAAACATTCTGATGGTAGCTTTCCGGGAGACAGCCATTTTGTGTATGTGTTGCAGTGATATGTTCGTTAGTGTGTCTATTTTTGTCTCAAGGGTTTGTACAATTGAGAGGATATCTACAAGGTTAACACCTATTCATTTTATATTCAAGTTGAACATGTGTTAATTAAAATCTGAATATCCAAGAGGAAGAAAATCATGAAACAGTGGAATCAAGAAAACAATCCTTAATTTTTCTTTTCTTTTTCGCCATACTGTTGATTATTTCATTTTTTTTCCAGTACTTATTTTCGCGGTTTTGCCTTTGGATTTTGGATTCGCGAAGTGAACAGGAACACAAATATTTCGTTTAAATAGGTTTGAATAACTAATCGCCAGATGTTTGAAATAATTCGCGATTGACATTCCTTGTCCAAAATAATTTGTCGAAAAGAAGTGTCGAATTTACTGCCCGAGGTCTTTTACGTACTTGTCGTATCCTCTAAGTGAAACTGACTGGAACGGTGAGGTAGAAAACTCGTCATTGTAAATGTACAAGCATCCTTTTGCTATCACCACAAATTTTTGTCGCCCTGTGGGGAAAGATAAACATATTTACAATCGTAAACAGCTTTTATAATTTCACTCCAAGTTGTCTTTAAACCTTCTTTTAATAATTTTAAAAAACGGAAAAAGAAACAGAAACAAATTGCAATTATTTTCCTCCGAGATTAATCAATAACTAGATACATTGATTTAGCTCTGAAACCATCTGAAGAATATATGATTTAGCTACTTAACCTTAATCTGTGGAATTTCTAATTAACATTAGTTTCATATGTCATTCCAAATTATGCGAAGGGTTTAGTTACCAATCTTCTTACATTACTTAATTCTTTGGGAAATGGAATATGTTTAAAACGACTTTAAAAAATTATATTTGCAGCTACTTTTGTTTCAACTAAATAATGATTACGGGGACAAGCGCATTGTTTTGATAACACTAGCATAAAGATGAACTCATACATGTATATATCGAAATAGCAAGAAATCATATATATGCCAAGTGAGTCTTGTACATAATTTATAATAAAACTTTAACATTTAACATTAAGCTAACAAAACTTGTCACAACTTAATCATGCTCACGTGGAATGTCCAATATGTGATAGTAGTTTTTAATGCATTGTCAGCTCGACCGAACAATAAAATTATCTGCAAAACCAAACGGTGTTTGTCAAAGTTTAAATTAATATTAATAGATCAAAAGGGCATTTATATGTCAAAAAGATGGATGTGTATTTAAAGCATATATATTAAGAAAGAGCAAATAATTCCGAGATTTAAGATGATAACTAGACGGGTTTAGAAAGATTTTCACAACTTACATTTCGTTATGATTAATTTTAGAACTGGTACTCGTTGTAAGGTTCGTTCCAATTGACCACGTTTCCGGAGAAATCCATAGAGTTTCACACCTAACCTTAAAATATCTTGAGCTCCTGTAAAAGATATGTATTGAATCTTGTATGTTCGAATCAAAAACTCCTGACTAAAATCATTCCTGAATTTCAAGAATGAAACGAAACCCAGAGGCTGAATCAGATGTCCCGGAATTGTAAACGTTTCACGGGAAGGTAAGCGTTTCTTACATCAAACGGTCTACTTATTATGATGTATCCTAGTGAATCAAGGAATGGGCACTTGTCATCCATTGAAATCAGAAGCCTTAGATGACATTCTTAAAGAGGTGCTTAAAATTGCTGATGACAATTTAATTCCATTGGTGGAGAGATAAACAATAAACATCTCCAAATAATGTTATACTTTCCAATTGTACACTGGCGTAGTAAGTCACCACGTGTTTATAGATGGACAAATCGTTCTTAACACTGAAACGCGTGCTGGTATCTATAAATTCAAATATGTGAATAGCGACAACACATACACTGTACACACGTTCACCTCATATTGTTATCTAACCAGTTTGATGTTAGATAACATGGCTTGTATAGCGGCCATACATTATTTACAACACCTTCTAACTCAATACCTGGAAGTCATGAACACTCCCTCTCTCCCAATTTCAGTCGTTTATTCTTTTTTTTTTAATTTACAATTTTAAATACGTTTCCTTCAACCAATCACTTGATAATGAAAAGTATCGACAGTATTTAGAACTTTCGGCTCTAGATAAACAAGATCCTTGAATAATATCTTAAATGGGATGTTTTCTTCGATCGAATATGAGGAGAAATTGGCTTTTAATTTTTACAAATATTTTTGAAAAGATTGTTTTTCAGAAATGCAGAAAAAAATCATATTTCATACCGCACGTTTGTTTCCATCATAATGTCTTTTGTATTCCCCTGCTGCAAATTAATATTTGCTCAAAACTAATCATAGAAAAAGGTTAATCTACCATTTTTTTACAGCAAGAAATGCGTTGATTTCTTGTTAAAGACTCACCTATCGTTGTCTGTGGTTCGAGGAAGATACTAGGTACAATTGATCCGTCCCCACTCATCGTTAAGTCAACATGTACAAACCTAGGCAGTCTAAAAACAATAAACGTATGGCAAAGTATGTGTACTGTATGCTTAACATTCAACCAAAGTAAATACTGTAACTGGATTGGTGGTATATTATTTATCTAAGGTGACATTAACTGGGTCTAGTTGCTTTAATCTTTTTCTTGAGGTATGAATAAAGAAATTAAAGCATTTATCAAACAGTGAATGTTTACTTCCGGGTTCGCGTTATCTTATTTATAGCATTGGCTAAAGAGAAACAAGTAATCGTACACGCTAGCCTTGATTCATTAGTGTTATTTGTGTTTTTCCAAACAAAACTCTATATTACTTTTGTTTTCATTATACAGTATAATACGTAATACATTTATTATAAAGAGGTGTGATATAATACACGTCGATTACAAAGTGTAAGGTATTTACATATACAAACACTATCTCCGTCAACGTCCTGACAAGCGTTTACATTTGGACCCCATCTGCAGGTCAGGACATTAAAATATATCGAGGATTTTGACAAAAACATTTAAAGCGTCCACTGGGTGGCTTGGGAGTCTGTTAACGAAGCAGCATCATGTCTGGTTCGCAGAGCAGTGGGTCGGTGTAATGTAAACATTAAACAGCGAAGTAGTAGGTGATTGGAAAGATCGTTTGGAAACTTGTTTTTTTTAAAAAAAATTATTCTCCAGCATGGAATACGGTATATCCAGGGCTGGTTCCCTGGGATCAATAGCATTTACTGCAGGAATACCCTCGTAGCGAGGCTCTCTATTTGACTCTCACTCTGTGATTCATTCAGTCATCCGTTCTGTTTTTACTTCCATTCGCACGTAATATATGATAATGTTTGTTTTATTAACTTCATTTATTTGGACATTGAAAGAGTTGTTTTCAATGTGATATTACAGTGCAATATACTATTGGCATGGATGACCTGACTTCATTTGCATAAGAAAGGCCGTTTGTTACTAGCTGTAGTAATTCAGCTCTAAATCGGAATCATTCTAGTCACATCTTTTATTTCTATTGAATGATACATGTAATATGAATTATAAAATTAAATGAGCAGTAACAATGATAAACGTGTATGTACCTTCCTCTCCCTTATTCAGCCATCACCTGTTATGCTCGTTTCATCTCCATAGGTATGTTAAACATGCAGCACTAATAAAGTAACAACTCTCTGTGAGGGATACAGTCCAGTAGATATATATATAACATAGACGAAACGGGATTCGTTTACAGACACACAACAAAGAAAACGTTCCATCCGAAGGACAGGATTTTGTAAGGGCTAAACGTAGTAAAGAGCGGTTTACTCCAACTTTCTGTGCAGTATGAGGGAGAGAAAATTGAATTATCTCCTGAAGGGTAAAACAGACCTTCCACGTTATTTTAGAAAAAGATATAAACTGACACTTCACCGGTTACCTACTAAATTGTAAAGGCTTTCACAGGTCACATATATAAGGTTTGGATGAACAAATGTAAAAAGAACTGTGAAAGAATTATAGTTAAAAAAGCTCCGAGGACTTCACACTACCACCTATAGCAATATTAATGTATAACATTGAGAAGGAGGCGAAACCTTTACAAATCAAGAAAGAATAGTACAAGGTGGCCAAGAGACGGAAACGTCCTACATATCTAGCGAGTCCATGTGGATCCAGGTAGGCAGAACATAAACATGTTGAAACGAACACAAGCATTGAAATAAACAATGTATGAAGACAATGTGGCGTCATCGGAATGTATCGATTGAATAATATGTGCCTTATGAACATTGCTCTCGAATGCAACATAAACTCCCTATTGGAATTATATACGTGAATCTTAACTATCCAAGGTTATGTGTGCGTTTCTTTTACAGAAATTCAGATAATGACAGTACTGGTATGAGTAATAGTAAGCGATATAGGTGGAATTTAAAGTAAAGATCGTGTTACATATGTATATGGGTCTGTCTCATACTACTCATGGTATGTATACGAATATAGGACTTGCCCTAACGCACGAATAACTTATAATAATGCAAAAAATATACGTATTCACCATATTAACAAAGGGGATTTCAAATGTGTTAATCTGCCTTTCACCTGTTTAACCGGAATTGCATAAGAATTTAGGGTTGATATGCACATTAGCGTATGGTACCGAACACTACATTGATTGAATCGATATCTTATTCAACAATTACTTCACACAATAATTTGTATCCAAGGACGATAACAAAACCTTCGGTCTGCCCGTTACCTATCAGTATCGTATTAGATTCTAGAGTTTATGTAGGTAAAGGCTAGGCACTTTATCAGACATATTCACTTGTGAAATAATTAAAAACTGTCAAACGTAGCAGATTATCAAACATAGTAGTTGAAGTTACCACTTATTTGCACAATAGTTGACAAAAAGGTGATAGAATGTCACAAAAATTTCAAACACAACAGGGATGACCTGCCAGGAATTCGAAAACACATAAACTTTACACATCGAATGATGACATGCATAACGTTCTAAGTGTGTTTATCTAATTTACCTACCGGCGACGTTTGTGGTGGTCAAACCGAAACAGGACAGTGAAAGGCTTCTTATTTCTCAACAATAATGGTCCGATCCTTGGAGTAAGTGGCAAGCAAATATTGCAAAAATCCTGCAATCATGATAGGTCTGTCATTTAGTTCACTCAATTTAACTTCCTGGTACATATAAACTTGGTTTACATTACCTAGAGTCAAAAACATCGTAAACTATACCACTGAGAAGCGTCTGTGTGACTAAGATTTATGCAGTGTGGTTTTATTTTATATTTAGTACTAAGTTGCATGTAAGCTTCCTGTGTCAATATCGAAATTTTGAATAGGAATATGGGTTAAAGACGCAAAATTAAACAGGAAAATAGGAGAAAAAAAGCGACAAATTAGATTCTCTTTATCATGTTGCTTTATTAAGTTTCAAGATGACCAAACTTTACCTAGCGTCCCGGTGAGCCCTGTATATGTGTGTACACACGCAGGTGTATACCTGACGGTAGACCGGTACGTCAAATGTTTGCTTTGAACAGCAACTCTAGCGTGTAGACAGTTTATTATAACAAACGTTAAACCCGTCTGGGTAGTATAACGTGCACACACTGATTGTGCTGGTGTGCAACAAACACTTTTTCATGTCATTGATACCATCTCCACAGTAAAAGCACAAATATATTAATATTATGTATACAATTTATATACTGACCTATTTTACCAGACGATTACGACGTGCACGAGTACATAACAATAACCCATTAGTTGTTTACCAGTTATTCAGTTCTCTTATATCCATAAAGTGTTTTATATTGTATTTAGACGATGTTATTTTAGTTTACCATGGTTATTCCACTTACATGATTTTAATTTTCAGTGAATCCCTGACTATAATATTTTAAATCGTCTTTTGTTTTCTAATTTATATGATTATATATCAGTGTTTCGATCTTACCGTCATCCATGACTTTTGGATAAACATGTCTAAGATTTTGGCATTTACTGACGCAGTCAGTGACCTTTGTACTTTTCTTCATTCGGCGGTTAACAGCCTGGTGCCCACCTCGTGTGGCAAAGGATTTTTTCAAAGACAGCTAGCGTACATGAACATGTACCTCCCTTTATTGTACAAGTTATTGATATTTTTTTTATATTTTCTCAGTTTATGTTGTTGTCTTTCTTTGTTTTGATATTTTTGCAGTTCCTGTAGTTGTTTACCATTTTATCGGTGTTTTCTTCTGTACCTGTTGTTGTTTACCTTTTTATCGGTGTTTTCCTCTGTACCTGTTGTTGTTTACCTCTGTATTGGTGTTTTCCTCTGTACCTATTGTTGTTTATCAATGTATCGGTGTTTTCTCTGTACCTGTTGTTGTTTACCATTTTATCGGTGTTTTCTTCTGTACCTGTAATTGTTTACATTTGTATCGATATTTCTTCTGTTCCTGTTGTTGTTTACTTTTGTATTGGTGTTTTCCTCTGTACCTGTTGTTGTTTATCTATGTATCGGTGTTTTCCTCTGTACCTGTTGTTGTTTACCTCTGTATTGGTGTTTTCCTCTGTACCTATTGTTGTTTATCTATGTATCGGTGTTTTCTCTGTACCTGTTGTTGTTTACATTGGTATCGGTGTTTTCCTCTGTACCGGTTGTTGTTTATCTATGTATCGGTGTTTCTTCTGTTCCTGTTGTTGTTTACCTTTGTATCGGGTATTTTCCTCTGTACCTGTTGTTGTTTTCCTCTGTACCGGTTGTTGTTTATCTATGTATCAGTGTTTCTCCTGTACCTGTTGTTGTTTACATTGGTATCGGTGTTTTCCTCTGTACCGGTTGTTGTTTATCTATGTATCGGTGTTTCTTCTGTTCCTGTTGTTGTTTACCTTTGTATCGGGTATTTTCCTCTGTACCTGTTGTTGTTTTCCTCTGTACCGGTTGTTGTTTATCTATGTATCAGTGTTTCTCCTGTACCTGTTGTTGTTTACATTGGTATCGGTGTTTTCCTCTGTACCGGTTGTTGTTTATCTATGTATCGGTGTTTCTTCTGTTCCTGTTGTTGTTTACCTTTGTATCGGGTATTTTCCTCTGTACCTGTTGTTGTTTTCCTCTGTACCGGTTGTTGTTTATCTATGTATCAGTGTTTCTCCTGTACCTGTTGTTGTTTACATTGGTATCGGTGTTTTCCTCTGTACCGGTTGTTGTTTATCTATGTATCGGTGTTTCTTCTGTTCCTGTTGTTGTTTACCTTTGTATCGGGTATTTTCCTCTGTACCTGTTGTTGTTTTCCTCTGTACCGGTTGTTGTTTATCTATGTATCAGTGTTTCTCCTGTACCTGTTGTTGTTTACATTGGTATCGGTGTTTTCCTCTGTACCGGTTGTTGTTTATCTATGTATCGGTGTTTCTTCTGTTCCTGTTGTTGTTTACCTTTGTATCGGGTATTTTCCTCTGTACCTGTTGTTGTTTTCCTCTGTACCGGTTGTTGTTTATCTATGTATCGATGTTTCTTCTGTTCTTGTTGTTGTTTACCTTTGTTTTGGTGTTTTCCCCTGTACCGGTTGTCGTTTATCTATGTATCGGTGTTTCTTCTGGTCCTGTTGTTGTTTACCTTTGTATCGGTGTTTTCCTCTGTACCTGTTGTTGTTTACCTTTGTGTCAGTGTTTCCTCTGTACCTGTTGTTGGTTACCTTTGTATCGGTGTTTTCCTCTGTACCGGTTATTGTTTATCTATGTATCGGTGTTTCTTCTGTACCTGTTGTTGTTTACCTTTGCATCGGTGTTTTCGTCTGAACCCGTTGTTGTTTACCTTTGTATCGGTGTTTCCTCTGTACCTGTTGTTGTTTACCTTTTTATCGGTGTTTTCCTCTGTACCTGTTGTTGTTTACCTTTGTATCGGTGTTTTCCTCTGTACCTGTTGTTTACCTTTGTATCGGTGTTTTCCTCTGTACCGGTTGTTTATCTATGTATCGGTGTGTTTACCTTTTTATCGGTGTTTTCCTCTGTACCTGGTGTTTTCGTCTGAACCCGTTGTTGTTTCCCTTTGTATCGGTGTTTTCCTCTGTACTGGTTGTTGTTTATCTATGTATCGGTGTTTCTTCTGTACCTGTTGTTGTTTACCTTTGCATCGGTGTTTTCGTCTGAACCCGTTGTTGTTTACCTTTGTATCGGTGTTTCCTCTGTACCTGTTGTTGTTTACCTTTGTATCAGTGTTTCCTCTGTACCTGTTGTTGTTTACCTTTTTATCGGTGTTTTCCTCTGTACCTGTTGTTGTTTACCTTTGTATCGGTGATTTTGTCTGAACCCGTTGTTGCTTACAGTTCTTGTTTTTGTTAATGTTTGTATTGATATTTCCTCATTTCCAGTTGTTGTCTTTCCTTTGATTTGATATTTCCTCATTTCCATTTGTTGTCTTTCCTTTGTTGCGATGTTTCTTCATTTCCTGGTGTCCTGTCATATATTTTGATTTTTCCTAGGGTTCTGTTGTTTTCTCCAGATGTTTTCCCAGTTATTGTTGGGTTTTTTCCTTTGTTTTTATGTTTCCTCTGTTCCTTTTGTTGTCTTTCCTTTGTAAAGATGTTTCCACAGTTCCTGTCGGGTCTTCCCCTTTATTTTGATGTTTTCCCAGTTCCGATTGTTGCATTTCCTTTGTTCCTTTGTTTTAATGTCTCGGCAGTCCCCGTTGCCCTGCGGTATTTTTTCTTTAAATTTTAGGCTTTAGGTTGGAAAAACCATGTCTCCGTTTCCATAATCGGCCACCTTTTAACTACATTGTTAGCCCATACCTTGAGTATTCTATCCAGAAGAATTTACAGATAACAAATATTGGGATATAGTTAAGTGAAACCAGCTGTACCTCAAGAAATAAAATAAAGTAGGTGACCTTTGGTTATAATGCGCCTTAATGAAAATATATCACCAAGGATTAGTATTACAAATGTTACTTAGATCCAATATGAGGGTAACTGAATCAGAACAGATACAAACAACAAAAGGGACTATTATTTTCTGATCTATTTTTCAGATAAATATTTATGTTACAAGTACTAGACGTATGTACAAAAAGTCTGAATACATAGCACACATTATTTAATATTATGTGTTTTACATTACTGATTTCTTGGGTGATATTTTATGAAGAGGGAACTAATATGTATTTTACAAAATATCAATCGACCTATATTTACATTTCTCAAAAACTCATTTCTAACGGTGTGGTAGATCAATGACTTACGTACAGGATCACGGTTTAATTACATGTTACGTCTGTAAATAATACAACCTGTTCCCTGATATACAAATACCACCCTTTATTTGTTCATTTTTATGCACATTGCGACGATCATCTGCTTGCTTAAATGTATAAGCATTGAACTGTTTTTGTATGGTATTTATGATCTATTTGAATGACACAGCTTTGCAAGCAAACAACATAATGNTTTGAACAGCGTATTGTCGCGTGCTGATTGGCAAACAAAGTAGTACTTTGAAATTTTAACAAACACTTCAATTTTATTCCACAATTCAGTATCAAAACAATTGCGTATGATATGTCTATAGGGTGATTTAAGTTTATCAATAGAACTCTGAGCTGAAAGTTAGATTTGAAATTGTTTCGATTTTTCCCCGGAACAAATTTCGCGCATGGACAAATACAGTGAACACCGTAAATCCGACCTTGCCCTCCACGAGGGAGTTATTTTTGGAAGTTAATTCGAACTTTTCTCTTTGCTCATTTTCTGACGAATCTGTATGGGAACCTGACAACAGTCGGTAGATTCTATAACAGACTCGTTATTTGACATGTCGTCAGAAACTGAGGAACCGTGAATGCGAGATGCGTGAAACTGATAGCGTTTGAAGTGAGTGATCTTGCGACGGAGCACAGGTTCGTTACACATGTCTAAAATGTTTATGTGTGCTGTGACTCATATCAGTAGGTCTGTAACATATGTGTCAGTAGGTCTATAGAAAATGTGTATTTCAGACATTTGTAACGAACCCCTGTTGATCAGTGTAGTGTAACAGACGATATTTTTGATCAATTGCATGAGCGTTTAAATTGTTTCCATTGCCGGCATTGGTGATTTCAACCGATGTGCATTTTGTACGATATTGCAGACCTTGGTCTGTTTTCGTTGTAATAAAATCATTTTTTATTTTATTTTTTATTTTGCACATAAATTTACAATGACATTGTCAAATCTCACAATGCCCAGCGATATTTCATCAGCCGTCATGTTTATTTATATTGGATATTGTAGTTCCGGTCAGTGTTGGATTAATACGCTAAGAATTGTGTCTCGTGATGCATTGTAATTAAAGTCCCATCAACGACACAGCTTTCAAAGAGGCTATATAGTGACAATGCCGTGCAAATATAAATATAGGTGATTGTAAGCCTTTGTTTTTGTTTCACAATTATAACTAATACTATTATCCATATGTTGTAAAGCGCTTTAGAGTCATTTTACAAACTATATAGGGCCCTATATAAATGTTGCACATTATTATTAATAATATTTTTTTGTCTGAATATTGGGAGGCTTGGTTACTGTTGCCTGAACTAATGAGTATTGACAGTACTGACATCCACTTAGACAGGAATTGAGTAGGTTATGTTAGTTTAATTAATTAGAAACACAGTATTCATTGCACCTTGTTATCGTGTCAAGGTGGAAGTCTTTATTTAGAACGCCCATATACATTTGTCAGTCATGCCTTGACATACATTATTTGACATCAGTTGTATACAAGAGATGTACCGGGTCCAATATATACACTTAACTTAATTATGAATAAACAAACTTATACTTTTACTATTTACAAATGTACTTATGAAACAACCTTAACTTTCCAAGGGTAGTGGTTTGCATTTTCAAAATATTTGGTATTCATTTCTAATAACTGTTTAGCTGATAAGAAGTAACTGCTGATTACACTTGATTGTAATGTTATTTTCAAGCTGACAATGCGTGTAAGTTATATGGGCAAGTCTCAGACAAGTGTAAAAGCTTTATTTATTTTGTTATATACAATATTAAAGATTAAAATTACTTTCTACATCAAAGTTTTAATCAAAATTAATTATACGTTTAACCGTGCCGTTTCTATAAGTCAGTATCATTAATCAGATTAATAATATGAAATTATATCTTAGATAGTGACTGAAGAGAAGATTTTATATATGATGCGTTAAGCTAACAGTACTTTTAAGACGTTGATTGATCTTGATTCATGCATACACACAAGTTTATATAAAGGACGCAGGTAGTAGGAGTAGTAGGAACATATTCGGAGATGGACATGGAGATGCATCCGACAGAGAAGGAGTTTCCGAGGAGAAGTTCCGACAGAGACGGGAAGTCCGAAGTGAAATGGAGTACCGCTGAGGAGATGGTTCATGACCCGCCTATTTCTTATGAAGTCGAAAAAAGGAAATTTGTGTATGACGTACTTGATGACCCTCCATTACACCTGACTATTTTCTTCGGGCTACAGGTAAGATAATGATGAATAGGGATGTGTTTTTGCGTCCGAGACATACATGGCAAGTAAAGAAAGATATCAATTTCGCTTATCCAATTAAAACATTCTTGTTCGTTGTTTTTCTTGAATGTAAAACATTTTGAAGGTAGACGTTTTTGTAACATTTTCTTGTTTCATACTAGATCCCTCTGGTTAACGTCCAAAAAAGAACTTTCCGCGCTCAAAGGATTCTAGTTAAAACTAATGCATTCTTTTCTCTCTAATTAAAGGAGATTTGAATGCATTTGCTGGTGTCGTTTCCTAATTATGAGTGTGTATAGGTAACCCAACGTAGACTAATTGTATGCAGCTTCGCCGCGTACTTTTGGGTAAAACATTGTCAGGACAAGAAATTAAAAGCTGTAATTTCTAACACAATTCACTATCATTTCTTAATTTAAACATCTTCTCTTGAATTTTTGTAACCCATATCGGATATATATCAAATTATATAACAGGAAAGTAAAACGAGAGCCGAAAAATGTCCCGAACGATATTCATTCTCTGAAGATTGCAAGCGTACACGTGCCATGTAGGCTGTTTTCCTCTCTGCTCATCGTTCACATTGAAATGCTAATATATTGAAAGTCATATTCATTAACGACCATCTGAAAATAGAATTCCGTGATAGGACATTAGTACCCGTGGTTGACATGTAATAGTCCATGTAATGGCATAAACTGTAAATATACTTATTACGTTTCATGATTACGCCATGACTTGTGAAAAGTTACGTAAGGTTGGCATGCATTCTCTTGAAATAAATATATTATAACACGAATGTGAGGCGGTCAAACATTCAAGTCTATACAAGAATTGGACTAGACAATAAATTGGTATATTGATGTATAGACCGAAAACCGAAGTGCACTTTGAGTATACTGTATAACACGAAATGTTCGTGGGTTCTTTTCTGCGTGGTTTGAAGCCCTTTTGATCGTTTCGTGGTACCTTCCATGAGTATCTTACATTAACAATCAGAAGACTTCTATATCATTCAAATTCGTTGTATTTATGTTCATGGTTCAATAGCAACCACGAAAACCACGAATGTTTATTCAAAACAAGCATTTCATGTCATACGGTACCGCGAAGCAGTTAATGATTTCGGTTTACATGCATGTATATATCGACACAAAAAAACACACATTATTTTGTCCAATCTTTTTAATTTAATTCTAAAATTAGAAAGGAAAAGTACAAAATGTGTGTCAATTTCATTTACAATTAAAGCAGTATTTTACATGAATGCCGACATGATATTTATGTTGTTAAATTATATGCCGTGTTTTAATCAGCTTTGTTGAACATGAGCTCTCTCAAATAATGACGCTGATAAGGCCATGCACAGATTTTCATAGTCGTCAAAAATATTTCCATGTTATCTGTTCTAAAATAGAGTATAATACTCAAAATTCCAATGTCAAAAGACGTGGCTTCAGACAACTTTAAGTGTGACAGATAACTGCTATTTTGGGGGAAAGATAGTACTTTGTGTATGACGTCATCAAAATATTTTCTCATTTTTTTTTATTTAACACTTGACTGTAAACACAAGCCAATGAGAAAGCGTGTTACAAACAATGATAAAAGGCGGGGTTAACATTCTGCCCCTTATTCGATTTATTTTCTTTTTTCGCCATGTGTAGAAATAAAAAAATAAAAGAACAATAATTGCACACAATATGTATATAATTATTCGTTATTACAACTGATAGCCGTAGTGGACCGCCTTGTATAACACCAGTTTGAGTGACGGGGGTATACTAACAAAAATACAGATAAATGTCACAGGCAAATATAATTTTGAAAATGAGCTATGATTGTTTAAAAAGTATAAAATTACTGTTATTTTGATACTAAATATGTCATATTGGTATACATGACGTAAGCGAAGTGAAACTTTTAATTGAAAAAACATGCAAAATCTTCACAAAGTTTAAAATATACCGAACATTGTCAACTTGCCTATGTAAAGTTACAATGGTAGTCTGTATCTTATACTTCTTTACAAACTTTCCATGTATATATTCTGTCTACAGAAGCATTTTTATGTAATATAAAAACCGCTAAAATACTGTTTTAACATGCCAAAGATAACCATTGCACAAATTCACCTAATCATGAAGGTTTGATAATCGATGTTTATTTTAGACAATACCGATACGTTTTCTTTTTTTGTATCATACCAAAACACTTTATTACATTATGCATTATGCATATTTAAAAGTTATATGCAGCAGTGATAACTCATATATATGTAAAACTATGCAGATATACAAAAGCAATAGAAATATCTTAATACTATAATAATATACATTTGATTGTTATGTTATTTTGTCTTTTGCCCATTCACAAAACAAAATAGAAAGAGTATAACATTATTTGTTCTTGTCTGACTCCTATACATACATTTTATTTTAGCACATTTTATTCTTGTGATCTTGAATGCTTAAATGCATTCATATGAACAACCTCATTGCCAAATATCAAGAACTTTGGTTATAAAGAAACACAAGTTAAAAGATGGAAAGAAAACTATGTTTTTTTGGGGTTTTTTTTAAATCAAAGGTGTTATATGACAAATTTACCGGTTGTATTTTTTTTAAATTCATAATGTTGAAAGATATTTTTAGTAGCCAACTTTTAAGCAAGTATGAAAAATAGACTCGTTTCAGAATTATGCAAATTAACGTGTGCAAAATGGGAAAATGTAAACATTCAGGTTTCATGTTGATGCCATGTGATGTTTACAATCGTGTTAGACTTTTCATGTTCTCTCTTTATCAATGTAACTGTCGTGTTATTCCACTTCTGTAAATAGTTTTTACTCAAATAAACCTCTCCCCTCTTTTTGCCTTCTATGTGACTGTCGTGTTGTATTTTTTCCTCACTTCTCTTCCATCTTTCTACCTGTAACGGTCACATAAGGATTCTTTTTGACGGCGTAAACGGTAGTATGAACGCTGTTGGCAACACCATGGTGGGCAGTCAGAGTTAACTATATAGTGAATTACTGTTGTATATGTATTTATTCCTGAATTTCTCGCCTCCTTTTTGCGATGCTTCAGACACTCTATATCATATCTGCCCTTTTTATTTATGATTTTTATATTCCAGCAAGCATTACTCTCCCTTTCCCTGAATTTAACGACCACCCTGTTGGTAGCTGATCTCGCGTGTGGATATGGTGACGAACTCTTAAAGGCAGAACTCCTGAGCACAACATTGTTTGCCTCTGGGATGAGTACGCTTCTCATGGTCACTATTGGAGTCAGGTACGTTCAGAATACGGCACATTTTAGCCTACAAAGAAAGCTTCTCATTGTCACTATTGGAGTCAGGTACGATCAGACTACGTCACATTTCAGCCTACAAAGTAAGTTTCTCATGGTCACTATTGGAGTCAGATACGATCAGACTACATCACATTTCAGCCTACAAAGTAAGCTTCTCATGGTCACCATTGGAGTCAGGTACGTTCAGAATACGGCACATTTTAGCCTACAAAGTACGCTTCTCATGGTCACTATTGGAGTCAGGTACGTTCAGAATACGGCACATTTAAGCCTACGAAGTACGCTTCTCATGGTCACTATTGGAATCAGGTACGTACAGAATAAGTCACTTTTCAGCCTACAAAGACAAGTTAGCGAGGTTCGTAGACGTTTTGGTTGGGAATATCTTTGGATGTAAATAAAATATATCAGACGGAATTAGTCTACACCCAAGTAAAATTGTAGTCTGATCGAGGACGCATGTAGCATTCGGGCGGTGGAAAATTTGAGAGGATATGTCTTTTATTTACAGCTCAAGTGTTTTGTAGATAGGGTTATGTAAATGACGGAAGGAGAGTATGTTTTTCACGTATAGTTCCGGTGGATCTTTTCCTTTTCAGACTCCCTATATACCAGGGTCCTGCTTTGGCCTTCGTAACACCATTGGTGGCTCTCAAGACTCTTCCGGATTGGAAATGCCCGAACTTGGAAGGTTGGTAGATCGCTTTCTGTGTAGTTAAAGATAGGAATTTGTATTCTACTAGTTAAAATGGGGTTTTAGAGAATTCCGTCAGTCCGTTCCATATTCTTTTTATGTCATAACCTATAAGTGGTTCGGCACTTTTAAGAACCTTACGGGGAGTGCCATCAGAGATAAAGGTCACAGCATGCTGATAGTAGACTAGTGTTACAAGGTTGTCCGAGTTATGACATTTCAATGTTTCACGACACTCCATATCTACAACTCCCGGGTGAATACTTTAAAGGGCAAGGTCACCGCAAAAGATCAGAAATTAAATCATTGTAATGTTTGTTCAGACATCAAGAAGAGATAGATAAAGTTCAGGAGCATTAATCAGTGGCGGCATCATCACTGGACGGTGTAAGACGTCACGGACCACTCTCGCGCCTGTATCACAAGGTCAAGGTCACTCTATGCGATGATTTGTGTGCAATTCTTTTGTCAGTATCCCGTAGTCAAGGTCGTAAGAAGGGCCGAGACATGTCTTTGAGTATATCTGTATGTGTGTTTGGGCCACAACTTCTTAAGGAGGCTTCACCCTTTCGCAATTAGCCATCAGAATTCAATGAAAGTTTCACATGATGGTTATGTCACTATGTAGAGATGATTTTATGAAAATCTAAGCATTCCGATAAACTGGGGATTTATTTGTAAAAAATACCGAAAAATTGAATTTTTGTGAAATTCAACACTTTCACATTTTTTGAGCGTGTGGCATTGTTCAAAAGTATAACAACAATAAAATAATGAAAAGAAACATTGCTTATCAACCCTAAAAATATTTTATTTATCATAAAATATCTACAACATGTTACAAAAGGCGTTTTTTATTGAAACTATATGGATAAAAGTTACTAAATACAAGCCAGAATCACACAGGACACATAGTTACATACAAAAAGAGTGAAAAATTGAACCAAATACACACAAAGTCTTTACAATTAATTTATTTTGCATTTTACAATTATCTTGATCCTGATGAGAGTTGTCTACCTTGAAAAAAATCGGAACTTTTTGCAGAGGGATAGAATTTATACAATGACACTTATTTCATTTAATATACCAAAAACGACGGAAATAAATTAAATTACTATATTTATTTGTCAATTTACTGTTCTTATATGGAACAAAATTACTCTCAATCATGTACACTTTGGACATTATCCATAGCCTGCTTACGCATTATATTAACATGTCAGGTACATATGTAACCATAGGCTATCGCATGGTATGCCGTTATTACGTTCACGCACATATGCACTTGCATTTTATAAGGATCTTGATATTTTACAAACCAGTATTTTCACAGAGTTATTGTTATTGCATTTGTGAACCGATTTATCTGACAGAGCGCAAATCGCTCGTAGCGACGAAGCGCTTGTGAACTACTGTTAGCACGTGATACGTACAGGTGAGGTCGGTAAACAAAACACATCAGTCTGCATTCCAGGCGCCTCATATACGACCTTCTTGAAGTCGTCTGATCGTATGTCAGTGTTTTCCCGTGAGTTAATTAATGTCTTTGTATCATAAGCTTTATTTCTGAAGTACGTGTGATTACACATTTCCAAGTTAAGTCTAGAAATCGGGTGTTGACATATCACGTCACGCACGTGTACTATTGTTTACCCGGCGTTACTATAATGTACACTACGGTAATGGAATGCCCGATACGCAATACGGAAATGACGACACGAAAATACGGCAAAAGGTAGAAGGTCAAGTCATTATAATGCTTGTCCGGTTATTCACTTCTAAACGACGTGTATGGTTGTACTTGTCTAATGATAGGGAGAGAAGAGTGACAACTCTTACATACTAAGAACCATTTTGTATGGCAGGAGTTAAGTTGGAGTTTTAGGGGGGAAATGATGAAAGCAGAAGCATTGTTAACAGTTTGTTGTGAATTTTCATTTGTTTTAAATGGACTAGACAATATATAGCAGTAAGGACGCGTGCAGAACCTGTCCGAAAGATTAACAATTCTGTTGCTGTATCGATAATATAAAATAAGAGAGTTAGAACAAAAAACTCTCTGTGCAATAGATCTGGTATCAATATCATTGTATTGCTTTCTTATTTCTTCATTGATAATATTATGATCCATAATTTAAAAACTGCATTTTTATTGTTCTATCATATACTTTATTGTAGGTATGAATAACGCTACAGTTGTGGGCGAATTTAACCAAACATCAAATAGCATGTCACTGCCCACTGACGCTAGAGAGGAAATACGCTTTAAGTTACAAATGGTGAGGGTTTGTTTTACTTTAAAAGAACTTTAACACGAAGTTGTGTTTTTCGAACACTTTATTTGGAAAGTTATAGCTAAATGTTACACATAAAAGAGCCATTGGGTCCTGCTTAACTACAGCCTATCAGGAACGCTCCTTTTATGCATTTTTGTTGCGATTTATTCGCCAACCATCATCAGATGATGAGCTTTTCAAATCGCCCTTCGTCGTTGATAGTTGTCCGTGGTCCGTTCGTCCGCCCTTAAACAATGCTTGTAAGCATTATTCATCAGAATGTACAGGAGATATTTTTCTCAAATTGCACATGAAGATTCCCAATGGATCATAGTTATCGACTTTTGGTACTGATCGGATAAGCAAGATGACAGACAGAGACACCTGTAGCTTGAATTTCACAGTAAAATGTTATTAGCACTATTTCTCAAAAATTACAAGAGGGATCTTTCTGAAATTTCACATGAAAGTTCCCTACGGTCCTAGTTCCGCATACTGAATCAGTGGTCTGATCGAAAACAAAGATGGCCGACAGAAGGTCATCTTGAATTTCGAGAATTAATACTAATAATAATAATAATATGCAACATTTGATATAGCGACCTATCTAGCTAACATAAGCCACTCTAAGGCGCTTTACAGTACATAGATATACAATTATAACAATTAGGATATACAATTTTTGAGGAATTCGCAGGAGCTGCCTTATCAAGCGCTAACTACTAGTCCTATGCCACCTGGCTAATATCTCCCTATGTGTGTATGCCTGCGTGTGTGCTGGAGATGTATTGTGTTCTTTTTGTAATGGGACCGTGCTTCCAACGGCATCTTTGATAGTGCCACCTCACTTGAATGCTACATCACTGATTCCGCAACATCCACCCCAGACCAATGTATACTCCACCTGGGTTGTTGGAGTTGTTTGGTCAGGAGAAAAACACTTTCTCTGATATTCCATGCGCGCGACGACTTCGGGGATCGAACCCCGGCCGCCTGCGTGGAAGGCCGGAGTGTTAACCACTCAACCAATCCTCGCATAATGTTTGTTAACACTATTTATCAGAAAGCACTGGAGAGACTTTTCTAAAATTCGATATGTAAGTTAAGTTTTGAGACTGTTTGGATACACAAAATGGCCCACTGACGGCCATCTTGGATTTTTCAATTAATGTTTAAACTTAAATTAAACCTCTTTATTTTCAAAATTTCTAATACTCATCATGATAAACAACAAGGCAAAGATAACAACGAAAATATAATGATGAACAGTAGATCTGGCAACTTTTTCACTGTGAGTTAGGTATATACAATGGGAGACAACTCGAACGACAATGGCTTATTGAACATTCATTGTAATATTAACAGCTGTTTTTTAGTCACATGCGCTACTATTAACCAATTGCAGAACTTGATACAAAGCACAAAATCAAATTATATAAATGTTTCGTTAATGTCCGGGATCTCAGTTTTATGTACGTCAAAAAGTGGAATATGCGACCAAAGTTTCAGATACTTTCAAAGTTATTTTAGAAAGAACACCGTTTCCCCTTGGGTAAGTCGTAAAATGTTTATGTATACATATATAGGTGTTTAATATATATATATATATATATATAACCGTACGTCGTTGATGTGAGGGTTTGTGATTTGATTAAATATCTCATATACTGACACACATACTCGGAGAATTTTTGTATTTGTTGCAAATGGCTATCTGAAACATTGACTTATGTCATCCGTTGCCCGAGCATAAGATAAATGGAGTTATTTTGAGAGTCAAATTTAAGTGGCATCAGACGGTGTTGCAGTGGGCTCGTTAATTAAACTTTCGTTGTTATGCCATTAGTGCCGGTAATGTTTTGGCGATCTATGGAGGCGGGGTGTATAAAAAAAGGATAGAGAAAAGTCAAATGGAATAGTCTTTTTAAAGCAAAGATATAACGTTATCATTTTAGATGCAAGGGAGTTTGATGGTAGCAGGAATACTACAGACATTGTTGGGGGCAACTGGTCTGATTGGCCGACTCCTCCGATTTATTGGACCAATCACAGTCGTTCCTGTCCTCTTCTTGATCGGAATCAGTATCTACAAAACCGCTGTCAAATTCTGCAATGCTCATTTTGGTGTGGCTTTTCTGTAAGTAAATAAAAACACAATCTTTGTGACACAACTCATTTTAAGTATACGTGTCAATTAGAGGTATATAGCATGGCTTTGGTATGTAACAGGTGCGATGAAATACATGGCCAGGCCAGGGTTCGAATACAAGACACTCAGACTTCCACACACACAAACACGCATACACTACACACATGGAGGCACGTCCTTAAATGACCTTAGCTGTTGATAGCACGTTATACAAAAGAAATCCAAACCAATCACCGGACATGAAGCTCTTTTCAAAAAATCTTTAAGAAATCGCTGTTTAAAACTAATTTCATCCCTCTTTTTGTACATAACTGTAAATATTTCACTATGTCCTATTTTACTGTGTATCATTTTGAATATTTTGTCATATCTTTATCCAAATGAATGTTGTAGTTTCGGATGTATTTTATGTATAGCGCTTTAATGATTTTAATACAAATTGATAGATGTTATACAAAGTTCCGTATTTACAATATATCAGTATTGTTATAAACAGGCTTGTCAGTTGAATAAGTGCTCTATGTGTGCAATGTATGCGTACGTGTGTGTATGCATAGCGCGGATCAGTTGCCAACTTTAGAGGGCTACCTCACTCAACACTAAGGCCAAAAGTGAAGTATTGCCAACCAATGCACTAGAAAACAAAGAGGTTCCTAGGAAGTAAAAAGAAAATGCAAATATCTCAAATGTTGCCAGGGGAGCATCAGTTTCCTCAATGTCCCCTTAGCAGGAGGCACTGAAAAAAAAAAATCTGCAGGGGAAGAGGCACCTTAGTCGCTTCGTACACCATGAAGTAGGATACAGCTCTTTCCACAAACCCATAGGGGTGTTGATCGTAGGCATGTAAACGTAAAGATGTCGTATATTGCGGTTATACAGGGTCATTTATTGTAATGGAGCATGTCAGTTGTACGTTTAGTGCATGGCTCTATTTTCAGAAGGTGTATTTTCTGTGTTGCAACAAATGAATTGTATTTCCTCTGATGACAGGACTTTCGCTGTGGCTATGGTGCTGTCTCTTTACTTGGAAGGAAGGAAGACACCAATTCCATTCTGGAGCAAGACACGCGGATTCCATATTATCTACTATCCCCTCCACACAGTCTTCTCTGTAAGATTACCCGTGTACATCTTTATATTGTTAACATTATCTTATATCAAAATTAGGTATCATTTCACCCCTTACATACGATCAGGGTTATTTTCCTTAGTTTTGACCAAAGAATATCCGCTAAAAATATTGATATATAGACATATCTTATGTTATACATATGCGAGTTAATAAAATATTCTTATTATGGTATCACAATGAAAGAAACACAATGAGAACTACCTCAAGATATACCATTGGTGGACTGAGGTGTATTAGTTATTTGTATGGAATACACTAACATGGGGAGGGGTCAATGATGCAGTTGGTTTTAGGTGACGTACCCTCCAGACCCCCTAAAATTGGCTTTAACCCCTGGAGCCCAGGCTTAATTTGCAACCCGATCAGTTGGGCGAGGCCATTGCCACGACCGAAGCATATTGTGAATTGTAATTGTGAGAACCAAATATCGAGGGGAGAAATTATTAACATGCATGTATGTACATCTATTTACATGTCAGAAGATAATTTGTTATTTAACATCCGTTATATAAATTGTGTTATGAACACCTTTCAAAAACAGCGTGATGTTGGCTGAATGTTAGCATTGCTTCACTATAGTGACGTCAATTCAAGGATAACGTCATACTGTAACAGACTTCCAATAACATTATGACATCACAATTGCAAAATGCTTACAGTGTCGATATTTTAGATTTCTAGATAGCCTGAGTTAATTTTGTTTTCGGGATTCTTTAAAAAAAACTTGATTGTACGATAAACAGAATTTTGCATTCGTTCTCGCCAATCCTTAAATGCGTATATCAACATCTCTGACATCACCATGTAAAATGGCTGTGGATAGCCATTGTAACAGCAATGTCGAAGACATGCGTATATGGGATTTCGACAATAAACATTAAAATCATGAAATAAATTATAGAGTAAAACAATCTTTACTTAATTGCCACTGTCCATTTGTCTAGTTACTTATAGCTACCGTCGTGGAATGTGGCTGGTCAGTATCCTGCTCACCACCTAACTACCGTTGTCCATTTGTTTAGTTACTTATAACTACCGTCGTGGAATGTGGTTGGTCAGTATACTGCTCACCACCTAATTACTGTTGTCCATTTGTCCAGTTACTTATAGCTATCGTCGTGGGCTGGTTGGTCAGTATCCTACTCACCACCTAATTACTGTTGTCCATTTGTCCAGTTACTTATAGCTATCGTCGTGGGCTGGTTGGTCAGTATCCTACTCACCACCTAATTACTGTTGTCCATTTGTCCAGTTACTTATAGCTATCGTCGTGGGCTGGTTGGTCAGTATCCTACTCACCACCTAATTACTGTTGTCCATTTGTCCAGTTACTTATAGCTATCGTCGTGGGCTGGTTGGTCAGTATCCTACTCACCACCTAATTACTGTTGTCCATTTGTCCAGTTACTTATAGCTACCGTCGTGGGCTGGTTGGTCAGTATCCTACCCACCACCTAATTACCGTTGTCCATTTGTCCAGTTACTTATAGCTATCGTCGTGGGCTGGTTGGTCAGTATCCTACTCACCACCTAATTACCGTTGTCCATTTGTCCAGTTACTTATAGCTATCGTCGTGGGCTGGTTGGTCAGTATCCTACTCACCACCTAATTACCGTTGTCCATTTGTCCAGTTACTTATAGCTATCGTCGTGGGCGGGTTGGTCAGTATCCTACTCACCACCTAATTACCGTTGTCCATTTGTCCAGTTACTTATAGCTATCGTCGTGGGCGGGTTGGTCAGTATCCTACTCACCACCTAATTACCGTTGTCCATTTGTCCAGTTACTTATAGCTATCGTCGTGGGCGGGTTGGTCAGTATCCTACCCACCACCTAATTACCGTTGTCCATTTGTCCAGTTACTTATAGCTATCGTCGTGGGCTGGTTGGTCAGTATCCTACCCACCACCTAATTACCGTTGTCCATTTGTCCAGTTACTTATAGCTACCGTCGTGGGCTGGTTGGTCAGTATCCTACTCACCACCTAATTACCGTTGTCCATTTGTCCAGTTACTTATAGCTATCGTCGTGGGCTGGTTGGTCAGTATCCTACTCACCACCTAATTACCGTTGTCCATTTGTCCAGTTACTTATAGCTATCGTCGTGGGCTGGTTGGTCAGTATCCTACCCACCACCTAATTACCGTTGTCCATTTGTCCAGTTACTTATAGCTACCGTCGTGGGCTGGTTGGTCAGTATCCTACTCACCACCTAATTACCGTTGTCCATTTGTCCAGTTACTTATAGCTATCGTCGTGGGCTGGTTGGTCAGTATCCTACTCACCACCTAATTACCGTTGTCCATTTGTCCAGTTACTTATAGCTATCGTCGTGGGCTGGTTGGTCAGTATCCTACCCACCACCTAATTACCGTTGTCCATTTGTCCAGTTACTTATAGCTACCGTCGTGGGCTGGTTGGTCAGTATCCTACTCACCACCTAATTACCGTTGTCCATTTGTCCAGTTACTTATAGCTATCGTCGTGGGCTGGTTGGTCAGTATCCTACCCACCACCTAATTACCGTTGTCCATTTGTCCAGTTACTTATAGCTACCGTCGTGGGCTGGTTGGTCAGTATCCTACTCACCACCTAATTACCGTTGTCCATTTGTCCAGTTACTTATAGCTATCGTCGTGGGCTGGTTGGTCAGTATCCTACCCACCACCTAATTACCGTTGTCCATTTGTCCAGTTACTTATAGCTACCGTCGTGGGCTGGTTGGTCAGTATCCTACTCACCACCTAATTACCGTTGTCCATTTGTCCAGTTACTTATAGCTATCGTCGTGGGCTGGTTGGTCAGTATCCTACCCACCACCTAATTACCGTTGTCCATTTGTCCAGTTACTTATAGCTACCGTCGTGGGCTGGTTGGTCAGTATCCTACTCACCACCTAATTACCGTTGTCCATTTGTCCAGTTACTTATAGCTATCGTCGTGGGCTGGTTGGTCAGTATCCTACTCACCACCTAATTACCGTTGTCCATTTGTCCAGTTACTTATAGCTATCGTCGTGGGCTGGTTGGTCAGTATCCTACCCACCACCTAATTACCGTTGTCCATTTGTCCAGTTACTTATAGCTACCGTCGTGGGCTGGTTGGTCAGTATCCTACTCACCACCTAATTACCGTTGTCCATTTGTCCAGTTACTTATAGCTATCGTCGTGGGCTGGTTGGTCAGTATCCTACTCACCACCTAATTACCGTTGTCCATTTGTCCAGTTACTTATAGCTATCGTCGTGGGCTGGTTGGTCAGTATCCTACTCACCACCTAATTACCGTTGTCCATTTGTCCAGTTACTTATAGCTATCGTCGTGGGCTGGTTGGTCAGTATCCTACTCACCACCTAATTACCGTTGTCCATTTGTCCAGTTACTTATAGCTATCGTCGTGGGCTGGTTGGTCAGTATCCTACTCACCACCTAATTACCGTTGTCCATTTGTCCAGTTACTTATAGCTATCGTCGTGGGCTGGTTGGTCAGTATCCTACCCACCACCTAATTACCGTTGTCCATTTGTCCAGTTACTTATAGCTACCGTCGTGGGCTGGTTGGTCAGTATCCTACTCACCACCTAATTACCGTTGTCCATTTGTCCAGTTACTTATAGCTATCGTCGTGGGCTGGTTGGTCAGTATCCTACCCACCACCTAATTACCGTTGTCCATTTGTCCAGTTACTTATAGCTACCGTCGTGGGCTGGTTGGTCAGTATCCTACTCACCACCTAATTACCGTTGTCCATTTGTCCAGTTACTTATAGCTATCGTCGTGGGCTGGTTGGTCAGTATCCTACTCACCACCTAATTACCGTTGTCCATTTGTCCAGTTACTTATAGCTATCGTCGTGGGCTGGTTGGTCAGTATCCTACTCACCACCTAATTACCGTTGTCCATTTGTCCAGTTACTTATAGCTATCGTCGTGGGCTGGTTGGTCAGTATCCTACTCACCACCTAATTACCGTTGTCCATTTGTCCAGTTACTTATAGCTATCGTCGTGGGCTGGTTGGTCAGTATCCTACTCACCACCTAATTACCGCTGTCCATTTGTCCAGTTACTTATAGCTATCGTCGTGGGCTGGTTGGTCAGTATCCTACTCACCACCTAATTACCGTTGTCCATTTGTCCAGTTACTTATAGCTATCGTCGTGGGCTGGTTGGTCAGTATCCTACCCACCACCTAATTACCGTTGTCCATTTGTCCAGTTACTTATAGCTACCGTCGTGGGCTGGTTGGTCAGTATCCTACTCACCACCTAATTACCGTTGTCCATTTGTCCAGTTACTTATAGCTATCGTCGTGGGCTGGTTGGTCAGTATCCTACTCACCACCTAATTACCGTTGTCCATTTGTCCAGTTACTTATAGCTATCGTCGTGGGCTGGTTGGTCAGTATCCTACTCACCACCTAATTACCGTTGTCCATTTGTCCAGTTACTTATAGCTATCGTCGTGGGCTGGTTGGTCAGTATCCTACTCACCACCTAATTACCGTTGTCCATTTGTCCAGTTACTTATAGCTATCGTCGTGGGCTGGTTGGTCAGTATCCTACTCACCACCTAATTACCGTTGTCCATTTGTCCAGTTACTTATAGCTATCGTCGTGGGCTGGTTGGTCAGTATCCTACCCACCACCTAATTACCGTTGTCCATTTGTCCAGTTACTTATAGCTACCGTCGTGGGCTGGTTGGTCAGTATCCTACTCACCACCTAATTACCGTTGTCCATTTGTCCAGTTACTTATAGCTATCGTCGTGGGCTGGTTGGTCAGTATCCTACCCACCACCTACATGTAATTACCGCTGTCCATTTGTCCAGTTACTTATAGCTATCGTCGTGGACTGGTTGGTCAGTATCCTGCTCACCACCTAATTACCGTTGTTCATTTGTTTAGTTACTTATAGCTATCGTCGTGGGCTGGTTGGTCAGTATCCTACCAACCACCTAATTACCGTTGTCCATTTGTTTAGTTACTTATAGCTATCGTCGTGGGCTGGTTGGTCAGTATCCTGCTCACCACCTAATTACCGTTGTCCATTTGTCCAATTACTTATAGCTATCGTCGTGGGCTGGTTGGTCAGTATCCTAGGGTACCGACCACCTAATTACCGTTGACCATTTGTCCAGTTACTTATAGCTATCGTCGTTGGCTGGTTGGTCAGTATACTGCTCACCACCGTATTACCGTTGTCAATTTGTCCAGTTACTTATAGCTATCGTCGTTGGCTGGTCGGTCAGTATCCTACTTACCACCCTAGGTTCTTTCTCTGACGATCCTAACAGTGCCCAGTACTTTGCCAGAACAGACTCGAGACTCAAAGTAATTGAAGAGGCCAGCTGGTTCTACTTTCCATATCCAGGTAAGCTTGTTTATCTGTACAGTCATAGAATACACTTTTATAGAAACATCTGTACGTCCTCAACTTTCTATTTACATTAAATATACGAATATTGGAATTTGCAAGTATTAATTCTTATTTTAACTTCTTTGGAAGACTCAGTTTACCTGCCCATACTTGACCTACAACTCCCAACGCTTTCATTGTCACCATTGACCTTTATATTTGCCCAAACTTCACTTATCGTGACCTTGAACTTTACCCGTTCTTCATTTTGACTTACCATATTTACGAAAAAGAATCCGCAAATGATGAGTGTCTATAAGGCCCTTTTTTGGGCCCCGGTATATTAGGATGTTTACTTCCTTAATTAAACCCCCGCAACGAAGTTTGGGGGGTATACTGGAATCGACAGCTTCTTCTAAAGTAATGGACCGATTTCAACGAAACTAATTACCACCTGAAGCTGTGCATTCAGATATTAATCTTTCATTCTGACCTTTTTTTGACGAAGTTATGGCCCTTTTTTGAAAAAATCCTTCTAAAGTTATGGATCGATTTCAACGAAACTTTTCCAGATATGATAACTACCACATGAAGTTGTGCATCCAGATTATTTTTTTCATTCTGACCCTTTTTTACGGAGTTATTGCCCTTTGTTGAAAAATGCCTTCCCGCACAACTATATTAAATTAATCATTTTACAATAGTTGTGGTGGCAAATGCCATTTTGTATTTGTGAGTTAACTTTGATAAGTAAGAAACAAATCAAGTTCTGGAACTCACTTCAGCCACAGGTGTTGAGCAAATATTACAGGATATATACAATAACCAATATTTACAATTAATATCTTATACTTATAGCATATAAAGGGTATCCCGAACTTTATAATTCACTTAGGATTGAGAGATATTTGAGATGTTTGAGATAAGTCCAGAAGCCATAACTCAGTATTAAACAGCAGGAAAGTGTATAGTGAATATGCATTTCGTTCAAGTCTACTTAAATGAGAAAAATTGTAAATTTTAACTCAAAATATGAATTAGAAAGGAAATAATTGAGAAAACAGAACACTTTTCATTTGAAAATAACCTAAAACAACCCCATGACTTAATCCCCCATTTTATATAAACAATATTTAAGTGACGATTGAATTTCTGTCATTTTTCATTCTTTTATGTATGCCTGTTTAATTTACACATGTTTCCAAAAACAGTAATGGTATTATTTTGGTTTTTAAGCGCATTTTACAAACAGCAAATTATATTTGTAATTTACCCTACCCCTTTTGGTACCCCCAAAAACCCACTTTCGGTCAAATGTTTACCTTAGTTTAATATGTCGGGGCCCAAAATATGGTCTTATAGACAGACACTCATCCTTTCGACTTAACTTTCTATTTTCGATAAAGGCCATTCTTGCAAGACTTCGTCCCTTTCCTGACCTTCAAATATCACCAGCCTTAAATTTATCCCCTGCTACATGTAATCAACTTTACCTTAAAACTACCTGACTTTACATACACTACTTCATCTTCCCCTGGCCTCTATCTGTATTAACTTCGCATTATCTTGACTTTTGAATGGACCCTGACTTTCATGTTCACTTAACATTTGCCTCACAATTACGACACAAATGTCGCACTTCAATTTCAGGACAATTTGGACCGCCCAGATTCAGTTTAGATGTGTTCGTGACATTTTTAATCGCCACCCTCATATCCGTCATCGATTCAGTAGGTGACTACTACGCAGTCGCGAGGATTTGCGATGTCCCGCCTCCACCAACGCATGCGGTCAACAGGGGTATCCTTATGGAGGGAATCATGAGCATAGTTGCTGGATCATTGGGGGCTGGGCATGCAACTACGTCATATGGTCCAAATATCGGAGCCATCGGCTTTACAAAGGTATATACAGAAATGCGACCGGGTCATCTCATTCGGAACACCTCGGCCGATTTGATGAAACGTACTATAATCGGGCAAGGCGTTCCGAATGTGTGTAAGTCCTGTGTACATCTGTCGTGACAGTAAATCCAGCCTTCCTATAAAAATCTTTTAATCCCCGAGCGAATCGGAAAAGCTTCGCATCCATTGAACAAAAAACGTGAAATATGAAGAATGGAAACAAATGTGTTTATATCGACAAATGAAAACGGTTTGCAGTTTTTCTACGTGTGCGATGATATAAGCCTACATCACACTCGGCTACGAAAGTTTCGCATAAGCAGCTTATCGTTTTAATATAATCGCATTCGGAATTCCATAACACTAAAATTGTTTATGAAAAGTGAAAGTGAAAAAAATGTTGGTATGCTTATTGTCACCAGGTACCATTTCTCATGACAGCTCATATATCTTCGTCTAACAGGAACGCTAACAGCTACTGAAGTTTGCATATGAAATACATATGACTTTTCGTGTAAATGCTGTGGCGGGAATGGTCGGTTACCAGTAAAAAAAAATCAATTTTAATGTTTAACATAACTTTGTCATCAAAGTAATGTACCCCAGCACAACTGAGAACAGAAACTAGTTACAAACTACATTTAAATATGTGTTTTGTGAAAGTTGCCTAGCGCGGAGTTCTTTTGTAATGAAGGTACATAAAGTTATGACAATAAGGTCCTTAACTTGTCCGAGATAATCATGAGCTGATGCACCATACTACCCAGATTTGATGTTATAGGTGGCAAGTCTGCGTGTATTCGTCGCCTGTGGGATCATCTACATTATCTTCGGGGTGATTGGGAAAATTGGCGCTTTTTTCATCTCCATGCCGTACTCTGTTCTTGGAGGGGTCTCCATGGTGAGCTTCGGAATGTTCGTAGGTTTTAACTTCGCCAACCTTATACCAGTACATCTGAACGGCCGCAACATGTCTATACTCGGGATTTCCATTGTGTTTGGACTCATGATGCCTCTATGGTCAAAGATGCACTCGATAAGTACAGGTGAGCCACGCTACATAATTATGCATGCAACAGCTGTTGTTAAGTATCATTACAAATCAATTGAAGGGAGGCAACTCTATCAAATTTATGGCTAGTTTCATGTATCCTATGCAACTTGTTTATAGACATTCACAAGATTTTTACGGAAAAATGTGATGGAATGTTATTGAGGACATCACTTAACCAAGAAAAAAAATCAAAACTTTCCCATTCATGATTAATCTTATGATGCTCAGTTCCATTTACAACAGCATGAATTCGAAAAAGTAATGTCTATGTTTAAATTTCGTTCGAAAATATTGTAATAAAATCTAAATACCATTCTTCGATATTTCGTACCGATGTGTTCTATCAGATGCATTGAGTATTTAATTGAGGGCGTATGCTGCATCGGTATGATCTACTTACATAAAGCACGGTAGTAAATATGTAAGTTCGCATAGATTCCATCATAATCTATTGTTCCAGGTGTAGTCGACTTGGACAGGCTCATCAACGCCTTTGTGGGAAATACTATGTTCACAGGCGGTTTCATCGCGTGTGTTCTTGACAACACTGTGTCTGGTAAGTAATGATTAAGGTTGACCTGTCCGGACAACACTGTGTCTGGTAAGTAAAGATTATGGTGGACCAGTCCGAACAGCACTGTGTTTGGTAAGTAAAGATTAGGGTGGACCAGTCCGGACAACACTGTGTCTGGTAAGTAAAGATTATGGTGGACCAGTCCTAACAGCACTGTGTTTGGTAAGTAAAGATTAGGGTGGACTAGTCCGGACAACACTGTGTCTGGAAAGTAATGATTAGGGTTTACCAGTCCGGACAACACTGAGTCTGGTAAGTAATGATTAGGGTTGGTAAGTAAAGATTAGGATTGACCAGTCCGAACAGCACTGTGTCTGGTAAGTAAAGATTATGGTTGACCAGTCCGAACAGCACTGTGTCTGGTAAGTAAAGATTAGGCTTCACGAGTCCGGACAGCACTGTGTCTGGTAAGTAAGGATTTGGGTCGACCAGTCCGGACAACCCTGTGTCTGGTAAGTAATGATTAAGGTTGACCTGTCCGGACAACACTGTGTCTGGTAACTAATGATTAGGGTGGACCAGTCCGAACAGCGCTGTGTTTGGTAAATAAAGATTAGGGTGGACCAGTCCGGAAAACACTGTTTCTGGTAAGTAAAGATTAGGGTGGATCAGTCCGGACAACACTGTGTCTGGAAAGTAAAGATTAGGGTTGACCAGTCCGGACGACACTGTGTCTGGTAAGTAATGATTAAGGTTGACCTGTCCGGACAACACTGTGTCTGGTAAAAGTAAAGATTAGGGTGGACCAGTCCGGACAGCACTGTGTCTGGTAAGTAAAGATTAGGATGGACAGTCCAGACAACACTGTGTCTGGTAAGTAAGGATTTGGGTCGACCAGTCCGGACAACCCTGTGTCTGGTAAGTAATGATTAGGGTGATCCAGTCCGGACAACGCTGTGTCTATTAGGGTGGACTCGTCCGGACAACACTGTTTCTGGTAAGTAAAGATTAGGATTGACCAGTCCGGACAGCACTGTGTCTGGTAAGTAAAGATTAGGCTTCACGAGTCCGGACAGCACTGTGTCTGGTAAGTAAAGATAAGGGTTGACCAGTCCGGAAAACACTGTGTCTGGTAAGTAAAGATTAGGGTTGACCAGTCCGGACCACACTGTGTCTGGTAAGTAATGATTTGGGTGGACCAGTCCGGACAACACTGAGTCTGGTAAGTAATGATTAGGGTTGAACAGTCCGGACAACACTGTGTCTGGGAAGTAATGATTAGGGTTGACCAGCCCGGACAACACTGTGTCTGGTAAGTAAAGATTAGGCTTCACGAGTCCGGACAGCACTGTGTCTGGTAAGTAAGGATTTGGGTCGACCAGTCCGGACAACCCTGTGTCTGGTAAGTAATGATTAAGGTTGACCTGTCCGGACAACACTGTGTCTGGTAAGTAATGATTAGGGTGGACCAGTCCGAACAGCACTGTGTTTGGTAAATAAAGATTAGGGTGGACCAGTCCGGACAACACTGTGTCTGGTAAGTAGTGATTAGGTTGGACCAGTCCGGACAACACTGTGTCTGGGAAGTAAAGATTAGGGTGGACCAGTCCTGACAACACTGTGTCTGGGAAGTAAAGATTAGGGTGGACCAGTCCTGACAACACTGTGTCTGGGAAGTAAAGATTAGGGTGGACCAGTCCTGACAACACTGTGTCTGGTAAGTAATGATTGTAATGATTAGGGTGGACCAGTCCGGACAACACTGTTCCTGGAAAGTAAAGATTAGGGTGGACCAGTCCGGACAACTCTGTGTCTGGTAAGTAATGATTAGGGTGGAACAGTCCGGACAACACTGTGTCTGGTAAGTAATGGTTAGGGTGGACCAGTCCGGACAACACTGTTTCTGGTAAGTAATGATTAGGGTGGACCAGGCCGGACAACACTGTGTCTGGTAAGTAATGGTTAGGGTGGACCAGTCCGGACAACACTGTTTCTGGTAAGTAAAGGTTAGGGTGGACCAGTCCGGACAACACTGTTTCTGGTAAGTAAAGGTTAGGGTGGACCAGTCCGGACAACACTGTGTATGGTAAGTAATGATTAGGGTGGACCAGTCCTGACAACACTGTGTCTGGTAAGTAATGATTGTAATGATTAGGGTGGACCAGTCCGGACAGCACTGTGGTTGGTAAGTAAAGATTAAGGTTTACCAGTACGGACAACACTGTGTCTGGTAAGTAATGATAAGGGTTGACCAGTCGGGACAACACTGTGTCTGGTAAGTAATGATAAGGGTTGACCAGTCGGGACAACACTGTGTCTGGTAAGTAAAGATAAGGGTTGACCAGTCCGGACAACACTGTGTTTGGTAAGTAATGATTAGGGTTGACGAGTCCGGACAACACTGTGTCTGGTAAGTAATGAGTAGGGTGGACCAGTCCGGACAACACTGTGGCTGGTAAGTAATGATTAGGGGGGACCAGTCCGAACAGCACTGTGTTTGGTAAATAAAGATTAGGGTGGACCAGTTCGGACAACACTGTGTCTGGTAAGTAATGATAAGGGTTGACCAGTCGGGACAACACTGTGTCTGGTAAGTAATGATAAGGGTTGACCAGTCGGGACAACACTGTGTCTGGTAAGTAAAGATTAGGGGGGACCAGTCCGGGCAACACTGTGTCTGGTAAGTAATGATTAGGTTGGACCAGTCCGGACAACACTGTGTCTGGTAAGTAGTGATTAGGTTGGACCAGTCCGGACAACACTGTGTCTGGTAAAAGTAAAGATTAGGGTGGACCAGTCCGGATAACACTGTGTCTGGTAAGTAATGATTAGGGTTGACCAGCCCGGACAACACTGTGTCTGGTAAGTAAAGATTAGGATTGACTAGTCCGGACAGCACTGTGTCTGGTAAGTAAAGATTAGGATTGACCAGTCCGGACAACACTGTGTCTGGAAAGTAAAGATTAGGATTGACCAGTCCGGACATCACTGTGTCTGGTAAGTAATGATTAGGGTGGACCAGTCCGGACAGCACTGTGTTTGGTAAGTAAAGATTAAGGTTTACCAGTCCGGACAACACTGTGTCTGGACATTAATGATTAGGGTGGACCAGTCCGGACAGCACTGTGTCTGGTAAGTAAAGATTAGGCTGGACAGTCCAGACAACACTGTGTCTGGAAAGTAATGATTAGGGTTGACTAGTCCGGACAGCACTGTGTCTGGTAAGTAAAGATTAGGATGGACAGTCCAGACAACACTGTGTCTGGTAAGTAATGATTAGGGTGGACCAGTCCGGACAACGCTGTGTCTGTTAAGTAATGATTAGGGTTGACCAGTCCGGACAACACTGTGTCTGGTAAGTAATGATTAAGGTTGACCTGTCCGGGCAACACTGTGTCTGGTAAGTAATGATTAAGGTTGACCAGTCCGGACATTATTGCGTCTGGTAAATAATGATTAATGTTGACCAGTCCGGGCAACACTGTGTCTGGTTAGTAATGATTAAGGTTTACCAGTCCTGACAACACTCTGTCTGGTAAGTAATGATTAAGGTTGACCAGTCCGGACAACATTGCGTCTGGTAAATAATGATTAAGGTTGACCTGTCAGGACAACACTGTGTCTAGTAAGTATTGATTAATATTGACCAGTCCGGGCAACACTGTGTCTGGTAATTAATTATTAAGTTTAACCAGTCCGGACAACACTGTGTCTGGTAAGTAATGATTAATGTTGACCAGTCCGGACAACACTGTGTCTGGTAAGTAATGATTTAGGTTGATAAGTTAATCTACACTGTGTCTATTAATATAATTAAGGTTGACCAGTCCGGACAACACTGTTTCTGGTAGGTAATGATTAAGGTTGACCTGTCCGGACAGTTTTTGAATCCCAGATCTTTCTTGACCAATGATGCTAGGATCGTTTAACAAAATAATCCCATTATTTACAGGTAGTCTAGAGGAGCGAGGACTAGCGGCCTGGTTAGATGAGACAGTGGGGAAGAGTAGTACACGGCAGAAAGCACACTTGTACGATGTCCCGTACCTACAGGAAAAGCTCGGTCGTTATAAGTGGGCAAAGTATGTGCCTTTTATGTCCGGATACGGAAAATCATTATAATATTGTCTTGTAAATCAATTAACATTTACTCACGTATATTTCCTTTCGCCTGGTATTCAAATTTGTTTTAATAAATATTTCTAAGATATTTGGATTGACAGATTTACATTCCACGCGAATTTATGCAATATAGGGAGAAAAAACTCGCTCAATAAAATTTTAATAAGGTTCACTTTTTTTCAATTTCTGATTTTTACTTTACAACTGTTTGAAGTAACGACATCTTGTTGCTGATTTTGGTTAGGGTTCTACTCCTTTGGTTTCAAGTTTTCTGTAGAAAAAGCTGGCAAATGCAAATCGGTTGGATTGTTTTTAGCAAGACATGAAAAGAGAGAGACGAAGATCGCTAAAATAGCACAACCACGTAAATCTGCATACACTGGATATTGCGAGAGGAGTCTCGGAGCTTTTCAGTTTCCAAACAAGGGATATTGCGAGAGGAGTCGTGTTCTTACAATGTACCAGAATCACCAGAATATTACACAACAGTAAGACAATGGAGAAGAAAGGTTTAATTATCACAAAAAAGTCTACTAAATAGTATATCATGTACAGTGTGTACAAAACACGTTTGAGTAATGTACCCAGCAGTTTTAAAGGCTATGCAGAGAGTGATTTACAGTGAAGTTCCTTTACACTGCCATCATCTATCGAGTGAAATGTTGGTGTTATAATTATAAAGCACTTTGTTTATATACTAAGAAAAAGGAGAATAAGGGACATTGAAATAAATTGATGGTAAAAGGGGAAAAGAAAGACGGGCATCATATTGAGGTTTTGTATATAGTGTTGGACCTGTGTATTGAAACGTCTTTTAGACATTTATGTTGCGATTCTTTTTTATATCAGTTCTTTACATACAGAGGTTCATTTATGAAATATAACTGCAGCGGCTGCAGCGTATGAATACGTAACCTGAGCACTACTGCTACTATTGCGTGACTACGCGCTAGCAAAATACAGTTGTTCTTTAAAAACAATCATTATCCAAATCATTCCCTGGCACTTTAACCGACGCTAATTAAATATAAGTATTAACTCATTTTAGATATTTCATTTCTTTTCCTAAAATAAAAAAACAAATGAATCCGATGTAATAGCTACACTTATGTATGTTTTATATTTCAACTTTGTGCGGGACGTCAGCTGTTCCTAATTTGTTATAGGTCTAGATAATGACATGGCCTTGCCGATAACAACGGGAACTTTAAACTTGTTTGGGAAGAGAATCAAACTTAACTGCATTTCTTATTAACTTATAAAAAAAAACACAAAGCAAAAATCTGCCTATATGCTGCACCCCTACTGGCATAACTATAACATGTGTTGAAGACAAACTGAATGGTGCCCGGTCGCGACACGTGTTGTCAGTTATACAGTAACGTTTATTGCTGCAATGTCATGAATAATATGTAATAGTAATATAATATGATAGTTACTGTGCAGAATGTATATATGTAGATATGTTTGTGTTTAAGTCGTAATGTATTATGTGCTTGTCGTGTGTACCGGTACATGCACCCCAGTATGGCCCCTTTCGAGATATACATATTCAATTATGTGCCCTCTAAGAAGACGATAAGGGACTATTTAGGAACTTATCGATTTACCGTGAATGTGTATAGGTACTATAAAGGTACTGATAAGGAGCTGGTCGATACAGAGGGGATCAATTCCTGACACCTCTGACGGAACTGCCTCGTCAGAGCGATCACGTCACACAATGTCGACACATACAAACACGATTCTACACGGGAGTTACAATATGGGTTGGGGGATATGTATTTGTATGTTCGCTGCAGATACACTTTCATCCATTTTCTTCTTCCGTCATCATCAATTTAAATGTTTTTAAACATATTATTTCCACGAAAAACAATTAAATTTAAACTAATGATATGAATTTGAACATTGGAGAGCAAATATTTCACCTGGTGAAATTGTCGGTACATTGTTGCTTGTATCACGAGACTTAGGTGAAGTTTCGGTATCTTCTCTGCATGGCGAAGTCTCTGAATTAACGTTGATAAACGACCTTACCTGTAAATAGGACATTATACCTAATCATCGGTGAAGTTTCTGAAAGTACATTTAATGTAAGTGATGATGAATTTTAGAAATTATTTGAAAAGTGTTTTTAATTGACCTGCCGGTTTGAACTAGGTTGTATACACGCTTCACGGTATGTGCACTGTCAGACACGCTGTAGTTCCTACTAGCACGGCAGTTAAATACAGTTCAATCAAGCTTATTTGTATTTTCTAAAGTTACTTTTCTCGCCACAATTAACAGGACAAGGTGATATAATTAACATATTTAAATTAACTTTAGATCTCCACCTGACTAATCCGAGTCGTTATGAACTTTGGAATGCGTATCAATTTTACAAAATCCTTCTTCAGCTGAAATACAATCCACACAAAATCCATGTTCGTGTTTTAAATTTAGGTATGCATATTAGTTCTCATTATTTGGATACTAGTGTTTTGATAAATACCCCTCTAATAGGCGAATGAACAGGGTCTCGTTATACGCTCGTGTTCGGCCTTGTACAAGGTCTACGATTAACATATGTAATGTCGCAGTTGAGAAATTAAATGTCTAAAAGTGTTTTAGTAGTCCTTTCATGAAAGACAGGCTGACCTTCTAGACAAATCGGCGTTTAAAAATGAAAGCTTGTTTAAATTCTTAGCAGTGTTTTTTTTATTTTACACAGTGCATATTAGTTTACTGATAGGTTTCAGTTATTTTCGATAAACCCCTCGATCGTCGAATACGATGAGTCCTGTGCTGTTCTGTTGCATTAGTTGATCGTTTGATCAGTTCTTACGGATAAACAAGGGACTAAGACAAAAGGTGTTCCTGTGTTTCTTTGTCACGGTTTCTCCTACTTTTCTCTTTTACCTGTTATTTTTTCAGCTGTGTCTCCCGAGTGAGGTGTTCAGGCTACCGTGTCCAGGTCATGACATTACTATTTAAAAGGACTTAATAGGATAGTTGATGGACGCAGGCAATTACCTGCCTCTATGTCCATATCATACAATATAACAACTTTAATTTACAAATCACTCCCGTTGTTAAGATTCGTATCTAGCAAGGTGATCTAATTTAAGTTCAAGATGTTTCCAATGATTGTCCAAACTAATTTCAATGTCTTTAACTATTGTAGCCTGTTTGACCGCCTCGGGAAGACTGTTCCATATATCAAGAGTTCCGTAGCCAAACGAATGTTTCCTAATATCTAATTTACAATTGGGTTTTGTCTTTAATTTCTGTGTATGCCCTCTTGTCCTAACGGTTGAATCTTGATCACAGATGCCAGCAGTAACTTTGTTGTCGTGAAAATTGTTCAAAATCTTATAGACGTTAATTATATCACCCCTCATTCTTCGGTATGTAAGTGTTGGGACTCCAAACTCCTTAAGACGGTCGCTCTAGGCAAGATCCTTCAGCCCAGGTATGAGTTTCGTTGTCCTTCGTTGAATTTTCTCAATTGTTTCAATGCCTTAAACTTTGTGTTGGTTCCATACACTTGTCGCGTATTCCAGGTGATGACGGACCAGCGACTTGAAAAGTTGTTTGAAAGTCACTTATAAGCCCCATAATGCTGTTTGCTTTGTTTACTGCCTGCTTAATATGTGACGAAAAATTCAGATCCATATCAATCAATACTTCAATGACTTTTTCAGATGATATATTTTCCTGTCTAACTTTATCTTCTCATGTATTAGCCAATTAGAAGTTTGTCACTTCCTTCCTTTTATTGAAAGTACTTTACATTTAAGAGGGTGAAATATCAAAAGCCATGTGTTGGACCAGTCCTGTAAATTATCCCGGTATTGTTGTATCACTTTTCTATCCCCATAGCTCCTAATTTCTCTATATATTTTTGTGTCATCGACAAACAAGGCGGTATTCGACAAGATACATTCTGGTAGATCATTTAAGTATCGCTTCTCTACACGGAAGTGATTGGATTGTAAGAAAACCAATGTACATGAAAGTGTCCCAAAAGCCGTAAAGTGGATTGTCAAGACTCCAATGTGAGTGACTCAAAAGCTGTACCTGTGGAATGTCAAGGCTCCGATGTAAGTGACTCACATGTATTTGATACGTCTGATACATCGCTGCTGTAGTAGCAACAAATGCAATTTCTGCGTCAGGAGAAATAATTCAACGACATTACTTCAGTTTAAACTTTATTTTAGATTTACATTCATGTGTTATACATTCAATGATATAAAACATTGAGACAATAATCATCATTAAATTCCACCCCTATCTGATTTGGCACTTACAGCACTTTAGGCATTGGCGAAATAAGACATAGGCGCAGGAAATTTGGGCGTTGACTCTATTTACAATATCATGTGTATTTACAACTTATATACACAATATATTTTACAACTTGTATTCGCAATTAATTGATTGCTCTGCGATGGAATAATATCTATTGTATACAGGCGCATTTGACGAGGTTATGTGTTTCCAGTGGGTTGCTGACCGGCATCGGTTTAAACTTTCATCGGTAATTATAATGATCTGATCTATTCATCAACTAGGCCTTCCACCAAACACATCATTGCGCTCCTAAGAAATTCATGTTTTTCCCGTAGCTGAAGGTCAACCAAATCAGCGGACGATTGCCGATTATCTTAATGAGTATTTCATTTGCTGCCCCCTGATCTGCACTTTATAATGTGGGCCTTTCAATGTTTATGTTTACCTGCATTCTAACTGCCAATACATGTTCGATAGATCATGGGTATGTTTAGCCACCATGTGTTTGCTATCTACCATTTTGTTTTGAAACGCTGTAAACTTGCGCAGGGGCCTGTAAAATGTTAACCAATAAAATGTATATCAAGCAACCAATGACCCATTATAAACGACAGTTCCATCAAAAAAGGGGGTATTTCTCGTAGAGAGTTTACAATTTCCATTACACCATGGCGGAATCCATCCAGTCATCGTCGATGTACATCGTCATTCGACAGTCACAACATCATTGTTCATATATCGATGAACGTTTTGACAACATGTTGTAGACTATTACTCTGATAACCCAGTCTCGCTTTCATCTTAGTGACGTCGACCAGTTGCCTCCTCTACAATATTCTTTGCTCCATCTAAATAATAGATTAGAAAAATGCCAAGATTAGC